CCACGAGTCCAGAGGCTTTGCTGCGCACGTCAATCTCGGCGGTTGCCACAGGCCGCGAAGCTCTGCACGCACCGAGACTAGACCACCAAGTATCTGGGGAAGATACCTGGAACTACGGCTGATGATATAAATCCTGCATTACCTTAAGGACCCTAAAGTATGGGAATTATTGTGTATTCCGTATTCCTTATTATGGGTAATGCAGGATTTATATCATCAACCGTATGATGTAGTCCCTGTTTGATGAACCCCCTCCTCCTTTGAGGGCCTTTATAGGGTTCCGACAGTAGTACCATCCCTTTGAAGGTAAGGGCATTTACTCATCACTGGTCTCCAGTTAAGTTAGGGGGGATCCTCGGCTTCGATTTACCCTAAGGGTCCAAAGGATCCAATAATTAGGCACTCGGTTTTCGGATAGTAGTTACGTAGGTTACTATTTTGGAGAGTAGATGATAAATAGGTACTTGGACCCGTACTTGAAGGCTCATGGGACTTAGTAAGTAAGGTTATAAGTAGGTTATAATTAGGATAACCCCACTTAGGGGACTTATAACCCCAATTATAACCTACTTACTAAGTCCCATGATCCTCCAAGTAGGGTTAAGGTATGCTTTCCTTGGTGAGAGACTCTTGGAGTCTTCAGGAGACATCGTCTTGGCATAGTGAAGTTGTCTAGTTTTTTGTTTGCAGAGTGTTTTAGAGAGGGTTATAAAGGGCTGGCAGGGTCTTACAGGGTGTGTAGAGGGGTCTTTTTTATAGGGCTTTAGGGTCATTATAGCCTGCTTCTAGAAGCATTGCATACTGCTAATTGTTCAGACCTTCGCAGCATATTCTTAAGGAGCAGATTGTTCCCTAGCACGGTTTATCTAAGGAAATAGAGTTTAGGGGTTTACTGGTTCAGGGTTGAAACCCTAAACCCTAACCGATTCGTATTATGTCCAGCATGTAGAGACTCGTGGAAGGCCCAGCCTTTCAAAGCAACACGATGTAGACACGGACAGAACTTGTAGGGTTCAGGATTTTAGGCTTTAGGGTTTCGGGTTTACCCTAAACCCTCAACCCTCAACCCTCAACCCTGAACCCCAAAGCCCGAAACCCTCAACCTGAGAATTGAACCCCAAAGCCCAAGAAAGCTGAATAGGTTGGCTCTGGCACTCGGCCCTGGGGCGATTCTGCGCGGACACTGCGCTTTCACAGGCTTCTCCGGCTATTCTGGCTGTGTTTACTTCTTAAAGGTTCCTTTAAGGGTCCCTATACAGGGGTCTATAGGGATTCTATATAGGGGTATAGGGTTTAGGGCCTACTTGGAGGTTCATGGGTAGTTATAAGTTAGAAGTAGGGTCATAAGTCCCCTAATGCGGGTTATAAGTCTAGTTACCCTAGCTACCCATGAACCTCCAAGTAGGGTGGAATTATGCTTTTTGGGGCCCTGTGGGGGTGGGCCTTGGGCTTTTCAGGATGGTCTTTTGTTTAGGAGTTTCGAGTTTAGAGTTTTTCGAGCTATGGGGTTTTGTGGTGTGGTTTTTTTGTGTGTTTGGTTTGGGGTGCGGGTCGCAGGTAAGGTAAACCCTAAACCCCTAAACCCCCAAACTTTACTGTAAGCCCCAAAAGTTCAGGGATCGGGGTTTAGGGCTCCTTTAAGGGTTCTATAGGGTTTAGGGTTCAGGGTAGTTATAAGTGGTGTTATAAGCCCCCTAGTATGGATTATAAGTTTAGTAACCCTACTTCTACCCCCTATAACCACCCATGAACCTCCAAGTGATAACCTTCAGAACCCGTAGAACCCTAACACACCTAAGTTTCAGGACTTGGCGCAACCCATCTTAGCCTCAGAAGCACCAACCTCAAACCCTAAAGCCCGGCTAAGGTCCCGTAGACCCTAAATCCCAAACCCTAAACCTTAAACCCCAAAACGCCGGGAACGCAGATGCTCTGAATGAACATGGAAACTTAAGGCAATAGACCGCGTTACCCTGACCGAAACCATAAACCTTAGACACCCCAAACACGTCAGACTCAGACATCTACTATAGGGGCCTAGCTAATTATCAATACTTTTTTGTGGGTTCCTTATTTCAACTATTGTGTAGTATAATATACCCCCAAACTCTATTCTAATTTTTACAACCTCAAAACCTGCAGAAATCCTGGATTCCTGAAGTGCCTCATGTACCGTACCGTTCTGGAGGACGACCTCGCTTTGGAAGCCACGCTCCGGCCCTGCCAGGCTGAGACTTTGACGGCTGTAGGGTTAGAAGGGGGGTCCTTTAAGGGTCCCTTTGTAGGGATCTATAGTGATTCTATAAGGGTATAGGGTTTAGGGCCTACTTGGAGGTTCGAGGGTAGTTATAAGTAGGGGTAGAAGTAGGGTAACTTATAATCCATGTTAGGGTAGACGTATAACCCCACTTATAACTACCCATGAGCCTGCAAGTAGAAGGTTTGAGGGTTGAAGGTTGGGTTTACCGTCGCTATGGCAGATAGGGTGGAGAGCTTGAGGTTCGAGCTCTCCGTTCTTGGGTGCCTTCGAGATTGGAGTACAGATGTCAGGGGGGGAGGGGGGGGGTCGCACCCACTATATAGACCATGCTGAGGATGCTGTGGCTGGGAGGTTTCTCAGACCCGACCGTAAATACATACGATATGGAGAAGCCGCCGCACGCTATCAACCCTCAGCACTAGACATCAACCCCTCATAGAACACCAATCTGCCATTACTTATCGACCCCTTATAGGTCCCTTCATAGAGCCCTTACAGAACCCTTATAGCACCTTTATCGAATCCTTATCGATGAATACACTATAGAATATAGGGGCCAATCACCAATACTAATGTGGGCGTTCCTTATTATATGTATAGTATAATGGGCCCCACAACCCTATTCCACTTATTAAGGCCCCTCTATTAATCCTGTTGAGTCCTGCTGCTAGGCCGCAGGCGCTTGGGCACAAGCGCTGGCGCTTCTTCCGCCAAAGTCGCAGCGGCTGGGAGCTGCTACCGTGGTGCTTTGGAGCATTTACATTTACGGTTCGCCTTATAACCCTCCAAAACTACCGGTCTAATGATGACTGTTCGTAAAAGTCCTGAAACGGATAGGTTTTGGGCTCATGCGGACTTGCGGGAAGCACTATACTCGGGCTTCAGTTTTCGCGCTGCATTCTTGTGCATAGTGTTGTTACAGAGGGACTACAAAAGGGCATATCCCTCTTTATTTAAGACCCAAAACCCGAGTGCCTAACTAAGACCCTGAACCCCAAGCCCAAAACGTAGGTGTCTTAGGCTAGAGGCAATTTCAAGCGTTGAATCCCCAGACACTAAGCCGTGCAAGCTCTAACTTTCCCACAAACCCCATGTCCTTCATCCTGAAGCCCTGAACCCTAAATCCCTGAAGCCCGAAACAGTGAATAAACGCCTGGATTCCCTAGCCAGACCCTTATTGATCTTCAACCCTCTAAGCTATGTGGGTGGTTGTCGAAATTATGGTCCCTTTTGGCGTCCGTATAATACTACGGCACCTATTATTTAGGGTACCCGAGAAGGGACCTTAATTTTGACAACTACCCATGTAGATTTGTGCCTGTGACTTTGAAATCCCAGCCGTACACTCGGAATAGGGTTTAGGCTCTGGTTTAGGTTTAGCGTTTAAAACCATAAGCCCCAAACCTCTAAACCCACAAACCCTAAGCCTCTGAACCCTCAGGCCGAGAAGCCCTGAACCTCTGCAACCCTGCAGCTCCACCAACCGTACACTCTTTTAGCCGGAAGCCCGTGCAACCCCTACAGAACCCTGCCAGCTTATAGTTTAAAGTTTAGGGTTTAAGGGATTTCTTGAAGGAGCCCTTAAAGGAGCCCTATAAATGGGAACCCTTAGTGTTCTTTGAAGGGCTCCTTTGCGGGACCCTTGTAGAACACCTAGGTGCTGGAGGCCATGGAGCAACTCGGCAGTGCCTGGAAACGGGGATTTGGGAGGGTAATATGGGTGGTTGTCAAAATTATGGTCCCTTTTTGGGTCCCAGTTATAGTTCGGTACCTATTATTTAGGGTACCCAAAAAGGGACCTTAATTTCAGTACCTGGAGGGTCATACCCTACACCTTTTCTAGAGTACATAGCTTTCTGGTTAGGATCTCCTATATAGACAAGTAGGTACCTTAAAAAAGGGGTAGGGTATGAGCCTATAAGCCTATAGGTAGTCTTTAGGGTTTTGGGTCTAGGGCTTAGGGCTTAGGGCTTAGCGGCTAAATTCGCCTGAGGTCCCTTCGAGCTCATGGGTAGCTATGGGTAAGTATACTTATAGCCCCTATCAGGGGGCCTTTGACCCCATTTATAACTGTGTATATCTACGCATGAACCTCCAAGCATGCATTGTGGTATCAGCATTTAAGGGTTGGACATGGATGTAAACGCGAATAATGAGGTCACTAAAAGCCTGCGAGTTCCCAGAGACTCCTATATCCCTTGATGAAGGAATATACCACCTTAAATCATAGTAGAGATCCCATTATAATGTAAGGTATATATTCCTTAATTAACGAGGTCACTAAACTACTTGGGCATTCTTATGTAAGGTATATATTCCGTAACGAATGAGGTCAGTAAACTACTTGGGCGTCTACGGGTTTTCAGGTCAGATCTGAGTTGTTGGATAGACCGAAAGCAGTGCAGGCCCTTCAGCGCACAACTTCATTCTAGAGTCGTAGTTAGGGTTTTTGGGTTTAGGGTTTAGAGCCCAACTTCATTCTAGAGTCGTGATTAGGGTTTAGGGGTTTAGGGTGTAAACCTACCACCGGTTAATTAAATCAGCCCAGCTGAGGTACCACGCTGAAACTGAAAGCCACACTCGCCACACTCCTGTACTAGCTAAGGGAGTTCCAAGCAACTGCAAGCACTATGACATGAGTAATCTTACAATCCTGCATGCTGAACGTGCTAGGGCTCAAGCTGGGGCTCAGAGGTAGCCTAGCGTTGCTTCTTTGGTTGCTGGGGCGACTACTCAGCAGATGCCTACTCCTTTGCTTAGGGGTCGGGAGCCACCGGTCGACAAAGTTGCCAGAGATCCCAGGACTTCCACAACTTCTGATTCCGATTTCTACACGACCTTCTGTCGCATGTACGAGCACTTCACACCCACGACCAGCGAGGTCCCTTCGGTGTGGGATGCCGGTTCAGACTTCATGTTTCACCCGCCACCTCCTCCGCCCCCTCCGCCCCGGCACCGACGTTCCTCCACACTGTGGGACGTTTCCGCCGCTGTGCCGAAAGAGCGGACCGAGAACGGCTGCGAGGTGCACTGGTCGAACCCTTATGGGCCCGACCCACCTGCAGACCCGGTGGTTGAAGACTCCTTCCAAAAGGCCGACAAGCTCTCATCATTTTCGAGCTCATGGCGCGAGGAAGGTCTAGCGGATGCTCCCAAGGAGGCGTCCGAGATGTCGGACCCTTGCAGCTCCATCCCCCCAGTGGAGGAGCCGGCTTTCGCAGCCTTGGCAAACCTCCGCGTATCTGCAGAAATGCCTGGTGACATGCCGGCATCATTTTCTTTGTCTGAATACTACAGCATGCAAGGTCCCTTGTCGCCGTGCTCGCCAGCACCAACCGAATGCCATGGCGGAAGAATGGTATTTTCTTTGCAAGAACTTACTGAGTACGACGGCAGACACGGACTGTTGTCTCCTGCGGCTACAGAGTACCCGTTCGAGCGACAGGCATCTTTCGCGTCTACGCAAGTCGGGCCTCGATGGACCGAGTACAACGAAGGACAGGGTTTGGCAGGAGGCTTCAGCCCCAAGTTTCCAGCTGGATCGCCAGTCAAGCCTGACGATCTTCTGCACGAGGACTACGACTTTCCGCTTGGGATGCCACATCCGGATGACAGCACTGCCCACCAGCCCTGCCAAAAAGAAGTCAGCGAGAACTGCCTTGACAACTGCTCATCTCAGTGGTGCGGGCTCTTCAGCAGCTGTTGCTAGGTCCCTGAAGTATTTTTGCACTTTGCATTTTGGAGTCCCTGTCAACGGGAATCATCGGTCGGTAAAACCGTGCACATATGAAGGGGATACTGCGGAACTAAGGCTGGCACGAGTCAGCACCTGAAGCCTGCAGCCGCTGCAAGCAGGCCCTGGGATCCTTTTGGGATCATCGTTGCCCGAAGCTTGGTCAGTGTGTTAGCGATCCTACAGAATCCTATACTTGCTCGTTGTGGTTTGGACTTTCCCATGTAGTTAGGAAGGATCTGTTTTCCCTCCCCCCTCACATGGACCAAGGAAGTGCTCCAATGCAGTTTGCGTGAACTGCGTTGCGAAACTCGACGGCCAGCCTTTCCGTTGCAACTGTGGGGAAGAGCCAAGAATCGACAGCACACTCTGGATGATGGGAGCATATAACTTCGTTGTGAATGCATTCGAGTTCATCACCAGCACAAAGCCTGCCGGTGCATCCGAGGGCTACACTGCGATGCCTTCACGGAGCCAGGCAAATTTCGTGCCAAATCCTCTGCTGGAACTTCGACCGGCTGCAAGCACTACACTGCCACAGCACCGGACGTTTTGTCCGGCAAGCTCGAAGGAGATGCCTCCTGCCAATGCACTGCCACCGCAGCAGCCTTTGCCGTCACTGTTGAGCCATCGGCGTCGCGTCTCCCAGGTCGCGGACGTCTTCAAGACACATCTCCCGGGGGAGATGCCCTGCAGCCCAATGTCCCGATGACGACAGAGCGCGGTGGTCAAAAAGAGACCACGCGCAAGAGCGTCTATATATATATATATATCTATATCTATATCTATATCTATATCTATATCTATATCTATATCTATATATATATATAGATATATATGTATATACGAGCTCTGATCCGGAGAGTCAGAGGTCCTTGGATCAACACCCCCTTTCGGCGTAGCCGTCCCGCCACCGAGGCCTTGGTCCCCACTGCAGCCGGCACTGGCGGCCCTGACGACGCGTTGCGAGGCTGGGGGGTTCCCTAGACCCCCGAACTACCCTCTAATATACCCTAAATACCCACTATTAAGGACCATAAGGGCTCTATTAATGGGCACTTGGGTGGTGCTGGTCAGGTTGGAGGTGTAGGGTTTTTGGGGGGTCTACGGGTTCTGTGATGCTCGTAATACAATTGGGTCTAGGCCTGGGCGCTTGGGATTCTAGGGCTTCGCTTCCTTGGGTGTGGGGTTTGAGGATGAGAAGGGCTTGGGGCGGGGGGTTTCAGGGTCATACGACCATAACGGTTTTGGGCTGCTTCCGAAGAAGACGGGCATTGAGCGTGAGTGTGGTGCGGGTGGAGGGTTGAAAGGGCATTTGTACTACATTATGAGTCCCAAAAGACCATCCTTGCTAGGGTTTTATCGGGGGGCTCAATTCCATAATAGTGACAAAAAACTGACCCGCTGTGTTAATGACAGAATTAATGAGCATAGGGGGATTTGGGTCCCAGAGATGCTTTGGTCTGCTTTCTTTGTCTTTCTGAGCTTGTACAGACGTAGGCCGTAATATACGAGCCTCAATAGTACCTCTATCTAGGGGTTTCTTATTATAATTAGAGCAATTATTAAGGCCCCTATAGTATCGTCCTTGATAGTGAGCTGTCTTTCGGGTCTTGCTCTGGGGAGTCTATAGGCTTAGGAGCGCAGGGTTTGGGGGGTTCGAAGTTGACGAGTTCGAGGGCTCACACAACCCCTATAGGGCCCTATGATAGAGTTATATTCGTTCGTGCAACCCCCCTATCTTCGCATAATTACTGCTCATAAGACAAAAACTCGCAAAGCAGCGCTGAAACCCAAGCTCGAACCGAACTATGCTAAGAACCTTGCAAAGCAATCGGCAGCAAAACCTGTCCCACGAAGACATCGGAACTGCAAGCCTCCGATCCCCCGAAGCTATTTTAGAAAGCCCTCGGCCACAGCCTCCCACCTTCACTTTGAATCTTCACCTAGACCGCGCAACTACCCTCCATCATACCCGAAATACCCTCTAGTCAATAGTACGACCATCAGGGCTCTATTAAAGGGTACTTCAATAGGAGGGTTTAGGGTGGCTGTAGCTGTCCAGCCCTAAACTAAGTCCCGCACCCTAGAACCATGTAATCCCTGAACACACCTTGGACCCCCAAACCGCTAACAACCACTAAACCCATTGATCCCTAAACCGTAAACCCAAAGCCTAGCCGGGGAAGCACAAAACCGTCCACCCTAAAGCGTCCTGATTGCCCCAGGCCCTGCAAAGTGAGGATCGGAGCAAGGCCGTCGTAACTTTAGAGTTCTGCTTAAGGGTTCTATGCTCGAGGTGCAGGGTTTAGGGTCTGCAAAGAGTTTCGGAACGTTTGGGGCCGAGAAAGATTGCAGTATCGGAATTGGGGTGTCGAGAGTCTGGGGTTTGGGTTTACGGGTTCAGGGTTGAGGCATGTGTCTGTTCAGGTTTTTCGTGTCGGCCACGGTCAATCGAGCATACCAGCGTTGCTCAGGGCAAGTCCTGAACATGTACGCGACATGATTCAGATTACACCACGTCTTACTGAGGATGAGGCAGGTTTTGTCCAAAGGGAACCGGCGACTGTAAAACCTGCACCATAACGACAAGAACTGAGGCCTGTCGAACCGAATCATGCCGAAACACTCAGCCGGCCAACAAAAACAAACATACCTCGTCCGTCTACCAGGGTCTTGCTAAGCCCTGGACTCTGGAAGCCTACACCATCATTATAGCCCTATACTACCCTACAAGACATGAAAAGCCCGAACTTTCACAGTTACCCATAGGCTCCACAGTAGTTCCTTTTTGGGATTAACTTATAGGACCCTAAGTATGAATCCCCCCAAAAAGGAAGTGCTATGGAGCGTATGGGTAAACCTGAAAATGGAGCTCCTGGTTCCCGTAGGTCGCCGCGGCCGCTGCCCTTCTTGGCGACAGCCTTTCGGAGGCGACATGGGTATTTCTCTAAACTGGGGCCCCCTGTTAGATCCCAAATATGGTACGGCACCATCATAACAGGACCCTTAAAGGGACCCTGGTTTAGAGAACCACCCACATGCTGATGAAGACAACCTTGCAGCCATAGGAAGGACCACATGGGTGCGACTTTTTTTGAAGCCCTGGGTCCCATGAAATCATGCCGCCACCGCTGTGCATAGTTTCGGCCGTTCTCCTTTATGTAGTATCACTTAGAAGGCGCCCCCCCCCACCCTGTAATAGTGACTATAAGGTTATAAAAAAAGGCCCTACTATATTCCTATTGTACCACTATTACAGGGTGGGGGGGCCTTCTAAATAACACCACCCAATGCAAGGACCCCATCAGCTTACCACAACATGTGGGACTATGTACATCCCGTAGTCTGTGGCGCCTAGGGTTGTGGGATCCTTAACGCAGGGTGGTTCAAGGGGGAGGGTCGGGAACTTACGGGAGCGCCAAAAAGGATGAGGGATTAATTATTGAGTATTACGCTCCTTCTTGAACCCCCTCTCATTGAGGATCCGACAAGGGCTCCTTTAAGGGGCTCCCTCAAGGGTCCCTTTCAGGGGCAGTGTGTGGCATGGCTTATAGGGTTTTTATAGGGAATCTATAAGAGGTCTATAGGATTTAGGCATTCTCCGGAGTCGTGCTTTTTGTTTCTGTGATCTCAAGATGCACTGTGCCCCGTTGTCGCGGTTTCCTACCCTGGCCCCCTTGATTCTGTTAGGGAACTCAGAAGAGCGGAAGTTGTGCAGGGGGGCTTGCCGCCGTAGCATCCCTCACAGCGCAGAGGCCGCACTTCCCTGCTTCCGAATCCTGACACCACACGGGTAGGACTAGGATCCTTGTAGATTCAATGCCCGTAAGATGACAAACATGAACCCTAAACCCTATTGTAAGCAGCCCTGTAGAATCGCCACTTCACATCGAAGGCAGCTGCAGCCACTCTGAAGCGGCGCCAGCGCCCGGCACTGCTTATTTTGCACCTAGGCAGCTCATGCAGGGTTTATATAGGGTTCTAGGATTTTAGGGTTTCGGGTTTTAGGGTTTTAGGGTTTAGGGATTTAAAGGGTTTTAGGGATTTAAAGGGTTTTAGGGTTTAGGGTGTGCTCTGAAGCAGCGATGCCCTAAACCAAAAGCCCTAAACCCGCAAGAGCCTCAATCTCACTAGCAGTGATCCCTTTCCTTGAGGGTTCCTGAGCATAAGTTTTCCTTTCCTTTGCCCCACAACCCTATCAATTTTTTCAATCCCTTGGTAGGTGTAGGGCATAGAGTTGAAGCGTTTCGGATTCTGAGTTGAATGTTGAGGGGCCAGCCTCATGAACCCTAAATCCTAAAACCCTTGTTCATGGTGGAGGCGGGGGGGGTAAGCGTGTTTTAGACTCTCGGTAGCACCTCCACGTCTCAGCCGCATTTAACGACGCCTCAGCCCTCAGCCCTGACAATGCTTCAAAACCTCACACCTCACCTCTAGCGAAGCCCCATGAGCCAGAGGCTTTAGTAGCCCTAACACTCGCATAAGCGTTATTAGCCTTAGTAGCACTCCCATAAAAGCCCAAAATAAAAGCTTGATTAGAGCCACTGAGGCAGGAACTTCGCAGCTCTCCGTCGAGGAGTATTATCGGCAGTGGCCTCCGTGACGGCCGCCTTGAGAACTACATCAGTGCCGCAGCTGAAGTCTAACATGGAAGCTTGAACAACTAGCAGTCGTGTTTCCTAGTAGGGCTCGTGTCAGTATATGCTAGAATGTAGCCCGAACCAGTTATCCAAGTACTTCTTGTTTCAGGTTTGGGGCACAGGTTTTAAGGTTTGGGGTTCGGGCCGACGGTGAATGGAGGGTCCTACACTCTAAGCGCTTCAAGCTAAGCATCAGGGCCGTTTGCGCTCGGAGGCCCAAAAGCCATGGGATTTCACGCACAATGCAACGACCCTGAAAAATACCAACACTATTTTGAGGTTCCGTCTTCTTCTTATTGTTATTTACATGTTTGTTAGAAGTACAATAAAATCCCCGCCCTCCCAAAACAAATGTCTATTCTAAGAATTCAGGCCTCCATTTTAACCCCATCGTAGAGCTCCAAGGCTTGAATATCAGGTTTGAACTACGGTTGATGATATAAATCCTGCATTACCCATAATAAGGAATATACCATAATTCCCATATAGTCCCTATTATGGGTCATGCAGGATTTATATCATCAACCGTAGGGATACCTATACCTTGCTTGACGGCAAGCTGCATAGCAAAGGCCCGACGGTGGAAGGGCGAGCATTTGGCGTGCCAGGAAACCTTCAATCATATGGGACTCTGAACCTGCAGCCTAGCCGCCGAAAAGAAACCAAGATACCCTAAAGAATAAACCACATCAATTATGGAAGTAGGCCTTCCGTAAAACCCGTCTAATCATGGTTTTGGGGGACCTAGTTCCATACGCAATCGTAGTGTATATGGACCCTGGTAGAATCTGAGAAGGAAGCCAGCAGAGAGTAGAGGCTTGGGTCCTGCTTTGGAGCTGGCGGCTCTGGACGGTTTGCAGCTGCTGGCGCCGGATGGCTGGCAAGGCCATGCCAGGAGTTTTCTGTAACGGTTTGTAAACAGGACGCTATAGGGTTCTTTAAGGATTTCAGAAAGGGTTCGCATAGGCTTCTAGTTGGTTTATTGATGTTTGCCGCCCGGGGGCTTGGGATTCAATTATTTCGGGGGGCCTGCAGGGTTGGGCATATACAGCTTGGGAACTGGGGCTTGCGTCGAGGGTGGCGATATGGGATCCTGCATGTTTCGACACGCCGTTTCGGCTCAACGCCCCTTTGGGCTGCATGTTATTCATTTTGAGTTTGTAACCCTAAATCCTTGAGAGAGGCGGCTGCAGGAACGAGGTTTCAGGATGTTTAATCTTGGTGGCTGTCGCATCTGGGGCCATGAAAATTCAGGTGCTCGCGGCTCTTATCTTTCCTCGAAGGGACATCCACATGCAGAGCATGAAACCATGTCTGGTTTCGGTTTGCCTAAACCCAAGTCCAAACTTTCCCACCACCCCCAAGCCATACGACAACGGACCCCTCACTCCCTGATTGCAGAGGACCTGCTGTGCTGGCTACACGAAGGCTGAACTATCAGGCGCCTGGCTTAGAGTAATGTAGGGGCCTTATAGGGTTCCTTTAAAGGGCTCCTTTAAGGGTTATAAGGGTACTATACAGCAAGGGATTTAGGGATGTGGGGGCCTTAATTAGAATAGGGCTTTAGGCTATATTATACTATAATTCTATATATATATATATACATACATAATAAGGAACCCCCAACACCCTATTCTAACTATTATTAAGATCCCTACATTCGGTCCTGGGGTGTGTTTGGGTTTTGCGTTTCGGGTGATGTGGCGTCGGGACCGACACCCAACTCCCAACCCTCGGGCCTTGCGGTGGTGCAGGGTTAGATTCTCAAGGTGTGTAGTTTTGCGTGCCAGCTCGTAGTGCCGGAAAAGTGTGTATAACTTTACGGTACAGGGGTTTTGGGCGACGCCCCGTGCAATCCTAAACGGAGGCCGCAAACTAAAGCGCTGAAATCGGCCCTGAATACCATGCTCTGGACGCGACTGTAAACCCATAAACCTTCAAAGAGCTACACCCCAAAGCCTTAGCTAACGAGGGACAACCTCAGGGTCTCTCCTAATTAAACCCTGACCCCCCACGAAAGATACCCAAGTGGTTCTCGGAAACTCAGAATTCTCCTCAGGGTCTCTCCTTACTTAGAGGATCATGGGACTTAGTAGCTAGGGTTACAATAAGGGTAGCTATACTTATAACCCCAATTAAGGTACTTATTGTACTTACAAGCATACTTACTAATTCCCATGATCCTCCAAGTAGGAATTCTTGATATCTTCAGGTGCAGGGGCTCGCACCACGGGGTTTTGGGCAAAGCGATGCCCAAGAGGAGAGCTCTGTGTGTTTGGGGCTTTAGGGGTTGGTTTAAGGGTTTAGGCTTGGGGGTTTAAGGGCTTGTGGGTTTGTAGGTTTTAGGGTCTGGGGCTTATAGGGTTTAGGGTGTAGGCTTTGGGGTCTTGAAGGTCGTGCTAATTGGAATGTTTGGGGCTTGGTCTGCGCTTATGGCTTGGGGGCTTGGGGCTTGGGAGTTGTTGAGTCAAGGTTTGGGTTTTGGGAGTGCTTCATGGTGTGAATTGCAGGAAGTTCGTGCTCAAAGGGCATTATAAAGAGCTTCCTTGACCGTGAGGTTTGGGGCACGGCATTTGGAGTTGCTGCTTCGGCATATTTGTTGGTGTTTGACGAAGGGCTCGGGAAAAAGCAATTTCATTATGATAGTTGTATCCCATGATGGCACCAGGCATTTGTGCATCATGGACACCGAAGCCGCAGCCCCATCTACATTTTCAGGCGCCACGTGAGGTCTACGACTCCCACTGGCAAGAACATAGCAGCTGCCTCAAAAACAAGAAATTGAAATGAGTAACCCTAAACCCTTATGTAAACTCTAATCCCTAAACCCCTATAAACTTTAACCCCTCAACCCCTCAATCCCGAAATCCCTAAAGCCTAAACCCCAAAAGCACCCTTTTGCGACGAAGGAGCTGATTGCCTCCTTCTTGCCAGCCTGGGCGTCGGTCCTCGTAGATGGAGGCCAGGGTTTAGAGCTTTAGGGCTGGGGGTTTAGGGTTTCATGCTCTGCAGTTTTAGAACCTCGAAGTTTAGGGGTTTAGGGCTTAGGGCTTAGGGATTTGGTAACCTTACACTTTCAACCCCCCCCCCCGGTGCTCGTTAATGCAGCGCTTCTGGTCGTTAAGAGGTTAAGAGAGGGTATTTAGAGTATGGTAGAGCGTTGTTGGGGGTGGAAGTAGAGTTTGGGGTTTAGGGCTTCGGGTTCAGGTTTTTGGTTTTTATTTGGGATGGTCAGCGGAGGTACTGTACTTCGTTTCGGTGTAGCTTGGTGGTTTAGGGTGGCTTCAAGCCCAAACCTTAGTTTTGGATACACGCTATGGGGTTCGGGAGGGTCGGGGGTAATAATTTGGCTTAAGGTGTTTAGGGGTCTAGGGGTGTAGAGTTTACATATAGAGGATGTAGGATGGCACCTTAAACCCTAAACCGTAAACCAGGCAGCTGCAATGCCAGAGGGCGGCTGCAAGGAATGCAGGTCCGATTCCGCAGATGTTGGATTTGGGTTCGCGGTTCCGGGTTTAGGGTTTACAGTTCAGGGCTGCAGTTGTCTTGGTACTTGTCGTAAAGAACAACTCCATCCTATACCACAAACCTTCTGGTGCGCTAAACCCTAAACCCTCTTGCCCTACGATGGCACCCTATAAGCCCTTAACTTTATGGTGCCCTAAACCCGATACCCGGGACTGGTGGCCTATAGACCCCTAAACCCGAAACACTCCCTGGCATTCACATGCACCCCGCACCAATACCTCGTTCGGCGGCAGGTCTAGAGGGGATGAGATTACTGGCTGCTTTTGTCAGCGTGGGGCTTGCATCTTCTGCTTCGTCAAGGATGTGGGTTTTGAGAGGGCTGTCTTTGGATCTCCCGCGTTTTTTGTTACATGGCACAGGCTTCCACGGTGTGCTGTACGAGAAGGTAAGCCGTGTCGGAGGCCAGGTGCAGGATTTCACAAACAGCTTCATCGGCCAGCTTGATGCTACCCAGAGAAACCAAGGTACCTAAAACAACTGTAAGTGAACTGCTTTGTCAGGGTCATATCCCTTTTTCAACATTGGTTGCTCCAGGCTGGCTTTTATCCTCTGGGTGTCGCTGGTGTAGGGTTTCAAGCCCAGCCAGGCTGAGCCAACGGAATGCCTACCGTACGAACTTCTATTCCCAATTCATGTACATATACGTACTGAGGGTACTGAGAATTCATCTTTTGGGCAGGAGGCTTCGTGCAGCGTGGATGAGAAGCTTCCAGCCGTTTCTGCCCACCACCCGCGCGGTGCTCACGCTGAGAGGCCATCCGGAGCAGTTGCAGGTTCGGCCCTTTCCACCCTTATACAGGTTTTTCTAGGATTCTGGTGTTTTACAAAGATGAAATTTGTTTGTTCCGATTTCGAGTTTGGGGCGTTCAGGTTCAGGTATACTTGACAAGACATCCAAGCCGTATTGGGAGGTTGAGCAGGTTTCAGGTTTGGCCTTCAATTGTTTTTGGGTGTTGTGAGGCTTCATGATTCTGGGGTCTGCCCTAAGAACTAGAGTACTAGAGCCTAAATTTTAAACCTTAAACCGCAACCCTCAACTCTAAACCCGAAGCCCGGAACGCATACCCTCAGGCTCCATGTAGCCAGAAAGTATATACTTGGGCCCTGGCCCTTAAAGTACCTATACAGGGACGCTTTTAAGGCTTAACTATGAACTATACAGGTACATGGAGCCTTTGGGATATAGCTGTAAGCAGCCCGACCTGCTGCAGTCTGTAGAGGCAGCTTCTGCTCTGCGTTCTGCAGCATCTGCTCGGCTGCCGTCGGCCGGAGAGTGCAGGACTAGGATTCCTTTAAAGGGTTCTTTTCAGGGTTCTAGAAGGGTACCATATGGGATATGGGTAATATAGGATCGTGCACAGCCCTTCGGTTTCGAGGGGACTTCCAGAGATAAGGGGATAGGGGTTTCGGGTTTTGGGATTGGGACCCTGGGATTGGGGGTTTAGGAATGGTGGTACGGACCTACCGAAGAGTGAGGCGTCAGGCTGCAGGCTTGGGACTGTTGGGTTTCGAGATTTGGCCCCTCCCCCTGAGGTTTAGGGGGATTAGGGTTTAGGGTTTAGGGTTCATGTGGTTCTCTCCAGTTATGCCCGTCATTCCAGCTTTTCCGGTATCAACTTCGAGAAGCTCAGGTTTGAAGCACTCAGCCGCGTCGCCCTACCATAAGGCCTCAGTCCTAGTCTACTGTCTAGCAGCCGTAGAAACGCTGGTTCCTTGCGCGACAGTAGACCTGCTGCTCTCCATGCTCAAGCCTGCAAAAAGCAAGTCTTTCTCATGAAAGCTTGTCGTCAAATGGATATGGCCGAGAATGAAAGAGTAGATGAAGAAGCAAACAGCAAGGAACGGAGACTCTCGGCTTCACCTGCCGTCCTCCAGGATGACCTCGCTTTTTTGAATCGGCGCTGCGCTCCTGCCAGGCTGAACCGGTTTGGCATGCCTTTGCGGATTAGGGACCCAAAAAGCACATAAGCATAAGCATGTTATAGGGATATCCCTACCTTATTGGGCTTCATTATAAGGGGGTGTATATGGGATATCACTCTCCTAATGTTTTGCTTATGGGCCTTTTTGGGGGGCCCTATTTAGCTGCCTTTCAGTATAGCCACTTGCATGACCGCTCGGGGCTTAGGTCAGGTACCACAATGCCATGTGCGAGGAACCGAAAGGCTTCCGGGAAGAACACTCAAAGACTCTAGGTAATAGGCCCCATAGTAGTTCCTTTAGGGGATTACCTTATAGGCTTATAGGATTCTAAACCTGAACCCCAAAAAGGACTTACTTTGGGACCCTATGGTATACAGTTTTTTTGCATGAAGAGTGCAACGCCAGCTGCAAGCTTGCTCGGAAGGTGGACTTTACCGTGAATCCTGAGTCGACTGCGGCTCAAGCTGGAGCTCAGAGGCTAGCACTGCTTTCTGCATTGCCTTCACAGTGAAATTTGAACATGCCTACCCCGTCGCTGAGTGGTCGGGAACCAACCGGCTTCTCCCACAGAGTGCGGGATGGGCACGGGAAATCGGCATTTGTTCCGAGAGATCCCGGCTCTTCCACCTCAACCACTGAGCGCGATGTCGAATATCCGGGCAGGGCAGGCTCGTTTTATACGGCCTTCTGTCGCATGTACGAGCACTTCACACCCACGACCAGCGAGGTCCCTTCGGTGTGGGATGCCGGCTCAGACTTCATGTTTCACCCGCCACCTCCTCCGCCCCCTCCGCCTCGGCACCGACGTTCCTCTACACTGTGGGACGTTTCCGCCGCTGTGCCGAAAGAGCGGACCGAGAACGGCTGCGAGGTGCACTGGTCGAACCCTTATGGGCCCGATCCACCCACAGAGCTGGCACCTCCTGCAGCGAAGCAGGTAATTGAAGATTCATTCCAAAAGGCCGACAAGCTCTCATCATTTTCGACCTCATGGCGCGAGGAAGGTCTAGCGGATGCTCCCAAGGAGGCGTCCGAGATGTCGGACCCTTGCAGCTCCATCCCCCCAGTGGAGGAGCCGGCTTTCGCAGCCTTAGCAAACCTCCGCGTATCTGCAGAAATGCCTGGTGACATGCCGGCATCATTTTGTTTGTCTGAATACTACAGCATGCAAGGTCCCTTGTCGCCGTGCTCCCCCGCACCCACGGAATGCTATCACGCGAGCGAGAATCCGTTTCTGCCGGCGCGTGCAGAGTGCTCCTACAACAGACTGAACCTACAAGCACCGTGGTCGCCGGTACCAACTGAGTACCCCTGCCCTAGACAGACGTCGTGGTCGCCTGCATCAACGACTTGCGATTATAGGGCTTTCGATGCTCCGCTGCCCGAGTACAACGGCGGACAGGGCTTGGCAGGAGGCTTCAGCCCCAAGTTTCCAGCTGGATCGCCAGTCAAGCCAGATGACCTGCTGCATGAGGACTACGACTTTCCGTTTGGGATGCCACCAACTGACGTCAGCGAGAACTGCCTTGACAACTGCTCATCTCAGTGGTGCGGGCTCTTCAGCAGCTGTTGCTAGGTCCTTCAAGTATTTTTGCACTTTGTTTGTGGGATCTCCTTCTCAACAGGGAACTAGTACCAGGTACCAGGTAAAAGCATACCCATAAAGCGCGGATACTGCGGAACCTAGGCTGCCACGAGCCAGCACCTGAGTCCTGCAGCCGCTGCAAGCAGGCGCTGGGATCCTTTTTCGATCATCATTGCCCGAAGCTTGGCCAGCCTTAGGCCTTAGGCATCCTACTTGGCATATTACGGTTCGGGTTGTCCCATACAGTCAAAGAAGGAGCCCCCGTAAGAAGGATCTGTTTGCCCTCCCGTTCCTACAAGATGGACCAAGGAAGTGCTCCAATGCAGTTTGCGTCAGCTGCATTGCGAAGTTCAACGGCCAGCCTCTTCGTTGCAACTGTGGGGATGCACCGAAGATCGACAGTACGCTTTGGATGATCGGCGCCTACAACTCCGTTATGAGTGCTTTCGATTTCGTGGCCAGCCCAAAGCCTGCCGGCGCGTCCGAGGGCTACACCGCGATGCCTTCACGGAGCGAGGTGCTTTCTGTCCCCAATCCTCTGCTGGAACTTCCACCGGCCCCGGCTGCAAGCGCTGCATTGACACAGCACCGGACGTTTTGTCCGGCTAGCACGAAGGAGATGCTTCCGGCCACTGCACTGCCACCGCCACCACAGCCAATGCCGTTGCTCTTGGGCCATCGGCGTCGTGCCTCCCACGTCGCGGACGTCTTCAAGACGCACCTCCCGGGGGAAATGCCCTGCAGCCCGGTGTCCCGATGACGAGAGAGCGCGGTGGTCAAAACGAGACCACGCGCAGCAGTCTCTAGCAGCTCATGTGGAGAAGCTTTGTGGGGTCAATCCCCCTTTGCAGCAACAGTCTTGCAGTGCCTGTTCCTTACGAGGCCTTGGTCCCGCTGCAGCCGGCGCTGACAGCCCTGACGCGGCGCTGCGAGGCTCACGACAACTCTGAAGCCGAGGCCTCCCCCCCTGATCCCTCCGAGGATTGTGGCTTTCGATGTTTGTTGGTCTGGGTGTTTGGGGGGTTTTCATGGGTTTAGGGTGTAAACTATCAGAAACCCTTTGAAACGCAAATACCGCTTCAAGCCCCAAAACCCTGAAATCCTAAAGCCTAGGCCTAGGTTTGCTGGGGTTTGAGTTTAGGCGTGCAGGGTTCCTGGCTCGTGCCTCGACTTCCGAAGGCCGCCTCAGCTATTTCGTCTGCCTAGACCCCCCAACTACTCTCTAATATACCCTAAATACCCACTATTAAGGACCATAAGGGCTCTATTAGTGGGCACTTGGGTGGTGCTGGTGAACCTGGCGTTTGCCTTAGATCCGAAGGAACAGCCCCGTCCTAGCAGGATTTTTCTTGACGATGCGCACCCTAAATTTCTTAATATGTGTATGCCCTTTACTGCGTAGTAGCAAAATATCCCAACCACTACTGAACCCCTCTCGCCGTGCATAGACTTTACAACCCTACTACTATTACTATATCCTAGACCCTAAACCGCAACGACCTTAACCATGGAACTGGAATGAAGCTCGGGGTTCGGCGTTGGGGCCGAAGTGGATTTAGTGACAACACAGGGCCCGAATAGTGCTCTCGAAAGCCAAAGACGTTCACAAAGCAATCGCAGGCCGTCTAACGAGGCCAGCCTCCGCTTACCCATAGGCCCCAAAGTAGTTCCTTTTTGGGATTACCGTATAGGATTCTATATACGAACCCCAAAAAGGAACTACTTTAGGGCCTCAGGGTAAAGATAGGATACAGGTTCGGGCTTAGAGCGAGCCTGGCGAAACGCTGAGCTCGTTAACACTATGCTCCGGTAGCCTCAACTTGCTTACCCTATACGTCGTAAGCATACCTTCCCAAAACTCTGTTTCATCCCTGTATTCCTACAAATTCCAAAACTCTGCTTATAACCATTTGTCGACACCCTGAACCCCAGACAATCTTGACCCGGAAGCCCCTACACATTAGCCCCATGCCTGTAAACTGTAAGCCTGCAAGCCCTTATAGAAACCGTACATGGGAGTTTCCGAAAATATGGGCCCCTAATATGGTACCCTAACTAGTAGGATCCTTATTATAAGGACCCCAAAACAAGGTACCCCTATTTTCGGAAACTCCCATATAAGCAGACCCAACAAGGCCTAACACCCTCATCGAATTCGTATGACACCGAGGCGCTGAAGGCCATGGAGCTTCATGGTGGAGCTTTCGAAGGCTCGGGGAAGTGGGGGTTTGGGATATGTGACGGACGTATTGCGCAGGGATAGTACGAGTTATTCGAACCTCCATGCTTCTGCACCAACTTTTAAGCAAGAAGAGTTCGTCACCAGCTGCAAGCTGATTCGCAAAGTGGAGCTGCGGCTACAACCCCTTGCATCCTAAATTCATTGTGGCTCAAGCTCGGATTCCAAGGAAGCCTAGCACGTTTTTTTCATTGCCTTCTGAACATGCCTACCCCGTCGCTGAGTGGTCGGGAACCAATTGGCTTCTGCCACAAAGCGCAGGATGGGCACGGGGACTCGGCATTTGTTCCGAGAGATCCCGGCTCTTCCACCTCAACCACTGAGCGCGATGTCGAACATCCTGGCAGGGCAGGCTCGTTTTATACGGCCTTCTGTCGCATGTACGAGCACTTCACACCCACGACCAGCGAGGTCCCTGCGGTGTGGGATGCCGGCTCAGACTTCATGTTTCACCCGCCACCTCCTCCACCCCCTCCGCCCCGGCACCGACGTTGTTCCTCTCCACTCTGGGACATTTCCGCCACTGTGCCGAAAGAGCGGCCCGAGAACGGCTTCGAGGTGCATTGGCCGAACCCTTATGGGCCCGACCCACCTGCAGACCCGGTGTTTGAAGATTCCTTCCAGAAGGCCGACAAGCTTTCCACGTTTTCGAGCTCATGGCGCGAGGAAGGTCTAGTGGATGCTCCCAAAGAGGCGTCCGAGATGTCGGACCCTTGCAGCTCCATCCCCCCAGTGGAGGAGCCGGCTTTCGCAGCCTTGGCAAACCTCCGCGTATCTGCAGAAATGCCTGGTGACATGCCGGCATCATTTTCTTTGTCTGAATACTACAGCATGCAAGGTCCCTTGTCGCCGTGCTCCCATGCACCCACGGAATGCTATCACGCGAGCGAGAATCCGTTTCCGCCGGCGCGTGCAGAGTGCTCCTACAACAGACTGAACCTACAAGCACCGTGGTCGCCGGTACCAACTGAGTACCCCTGCCCTAGACAGACGTCGTGGTCGCCTGCATCAACGACTTGCGATTATAGGGCTTTCGATGCTCCGCTGCCCGAGTACAACGGCGGACAGCGCTTGGCAGGAGGCTTCAGCCCCAAGTTTCCAGCTGGATCGCCAGTCAAGCCAGATGACCTGCTGCATGAGGACTACGACTTTCCGTTTGGGATGCCACCAACTGACGTCAGCGAGAGCTGCCTTGACAACTGCTCATCTCAGTGGTGCGGGCTCTTCAGCAGCTGTTGCTAGGTCCTTCAAGTATTTTTGCACTTTGTTTGTGGGATCTCCCTCTCAACAGGGAACTAGTACCAGGTACCAGGTAAAAGCATACCCATAAAGAGCGGATGCTGCGGAACCTAGGCTGCCACGAGCCAGCACCTGAGTCCTGCAGCCGCTGCAAGCAGGCCCTGGGATCCTTTTTCGATCATCATTGCCCGAAGCTTGGCCAGCCTTAGGCATCCTACTTGGCATATTACGGTTCGGGTTGTCCCATACAGTCAAAGAAGGAGCCCCCGTAAGAAGGATCTGTTTGCCCTCCCGTTCCTACAAGATGGACCAAGGAAGTGCTCCAATGCAGTTTGCGTCAGCTGCATTGCGAAGCTCAACGGCCAGCCTCTTCGTTGCAACTGTGGGGATGCACCGAAGATCGACAGTACGCTTTGGATGATCGGCGCCTACAACTCCGTTATGAGTGCTTTCGATTTCGTGACCAGCGCAAAGCCTGCCGGCGCGTCCGAGGGCTACACCGCGATGCCTTCACGGAGCGAGGTGCTTTCTGTCCCCAATCCTCTGCTGGAACTTCCACCGGCCCCGGCTGCAAGCGCTGCATTGACACAGCACCGGACGTTTTGTCCGGCTAGCACGAAGGAGATGCTTCCGGCCACTGCACTGCCACCGCCACCACAGCCAATGCCGTTGCTCTTGGGCCATCGGCGTCGTGCCTCCCACGTCGCGGACGTCTTCAAGACGCACCTCCCGGGGGAAATGCCCTGCAGCCCGGTGTCCCGATGACGACAGAGCGCGGTGGTCAAAACGAGACCACGCGCAGCAGTCTCTAGCAGCTCATGTGGAGAAGCTTTGTGGGGTCAATCCCCCTTTGCAGCAACAGTCTTGCAGTGCCTGTTCCTTACGAGGCCTTGGTCCCGCTGCAGCCGGCGCCGACAGCCCTGACGCGGCGCTGCCAGGCTCAGGGTTTTTTGGTTGGAGGTTTTCAGGGTTTTATGCTGGGGTTACGCGGGTTTGGGGATGTTTCAAGAAGAGGGGGTCTAGGATTAAAGCCCCAAGCCCTGAAACCGTAATGCCTGGGTTTGGCGTGCAGGGTTGGTGCCTCGGCTCCCGAACGCAGCCTGAAATTGTAATTTGCCTAGATCCGAAGGAACACTTTCCTAGCGGGGCGCACCTTCTATAGCCCTTCCGGGCCAAATTCCCTAGTATTTCCCTAAGCTCTAAAGCCTTTCTGCCTTGCATGAAACGTTCAAACTCGTTAAAGCCCTATTACCCTAGATTCTGAAACATATTGAACTAAACCCTGCAACCCGAATAAAGCTTGGGGTTTGGTGGTTTCGGGGTTGTGGCCGAAGAGGGTTCATCAACTAGTGACGACATAGAGACCTCAACAGTGCTCCCTTGCTGATTCATCGGGGCCGCCCTCTCCTAAGAAATAGGATACAGGTTAGGGCGAGCCTGGCCTGGAAGGCGCAGTCCTAAACGGAAGCCACTGAGTTAAGTCTATGCCATGTAAGCCTCAGTGTGCCTACCCGAAAAAATCGCAAGCATACCTGTCTGACCCGGAGCCCTAAAGCCCTTAAGCCTCTAGCCCGGATCCCTATTAATCTCTGTATTCCCACCAAACCCGAAACTCTGCTGAACCTGTTGTCCACACCCTGAACCCCCGCACAGAAACCTCTTCAACCCGAAAGCCCCATAAGCCGTAACCCTACACTGTAAACTCAAGCTCTTGCAGGAACCCTTCTACCAGGACCCTCCATGTACCCTTAAATCGTAAAGGGCCCCAACTAATGGGCATTTAGGGTCTAATAGAGGCTAGATGGAGGGTCTAGGTAAGAAGATCCTCTAAGGCCCCTTGTAAAGCCCCTCCTGGAATTGCTTGTGGCACCGAGGCGCTGAACGCCATGGAGCCAAAATGCTGGAGCCATCGAAGGCTTTGGGATGTGGGCGACAGGAACTTCAGGAGTTGAATTCGGATTGGGATGTTATTGTGCAGGGATAGTGCGATTTATTCGGCGCTCTACTTTACTGTAGTTTTAGTATGATCGAGCTTGGGACACCGTGAGTTGCAAGGCTGAGGGTCCTCGCAAAACTTCAAACGCCGCGACAGACCTTTCGACATGAAGAGTTCAAAGCCAGCTGCAAGCTTAGTTCGAAAGGTGGAGCTGCAATATACTTTGAATCCCGCGTCGACTGCGGCTCAAGCTAGCAGCCAAGCACTGCTGCTTTCATTGCCTTCACTGCGACTTCGAAGATGCCTACCCCGTCGCTCGGTGGTGGACAGCCAACCGGCTTCTCCCACAAAGTGCGGGACGGGCACCGGAAGTCGGCTTCTGTTTTGAGAGATCCCGCGTCTTCAATTTCGACGTCTGGTTCCGATGCCGGATATCAGGGCAGGGCAGGCTCGTTTTATACGGCTTTCTGTCGGATGTATGAGCATTTTACACCCGCGACCAGCGAGGTCCCTTCGGTGTGGGATGCCGGCTCCGAATTCTTCTTTCACCCGCCGCCTCCTCCTCCCCCTCCGCCGCGGCACCGACGTTCCTCTCTTCTCTGCGACATCTCCGCCGCTGTGCCGAAAGAGCGGACCTAGAACGGCTACGAGGTACAATGGTCGAACCCTTATGGGCCCGACCCACCTGCAGACCCGGTGTTTGAAGATTCCTTCCAGAAGGCCGACAAGCTTTCCGCGTTTTCGAGCTCATGGCGCGAGGAAGGTCCAGCGGATGCTCCCAAGGAGGCGTCCGAGATGTCGGACCCTTGCAGCTCCATCCCCCCAGTGGAGGAGCCGGCTTTCGCAGCCTTAGCAAACCTCCGCGTATCTGCAGAAATGCCTGGTGACATGCCGGCATCATTTTCTTTGTCTGAATACTACAGCATGCAAGGTCCCTTGTCGCCGTGCTCCCCCGCACCCACGGAATCCTATGGCGGCAGGGTAGCATCTCATTCACAGGAACTTACTGAGTACGACGGCAGACACGGACTGTTGTCTCCTGCGGCTACAGAGTACCCGTTCGAGCGACAGGCATCGTTTGCGTCTACGCAAGTCGGGCCTCGATGGACCGAGTACAACGAAGGACAGGGCTTGGCAGGAGGCTTCAGCCCCAAGTTTCAGCTGGATCGCCAGTCAAGCCTGACGATCTTCTGCATGAGGACTACGACGACGTAGTCCTCATGCAGAAGATCGTCAGGCTTGACTGGCGATCCAGCTGGAAACTTGTGACTACGACTTTCCGTTTGGGATGCCACCTCCGGATGACAGCACTGCCCACCAGCACTGCCGAAAAGAAGTCAGCGAGAACTGCCTTGACAACTGCTCATCTCAGTGGTGCGGACTATTCAGCAGCTGTTGCTAGGTCCCTGAAGTATTTTTGCACTTTGCATTTTGGAGTCTTCCTGTCAACGGGAATCATCGGTCGGTAAACCGCGCGCATGTGGAAGGATTACCGCGGAACTAGGGTTCTATAAGGGTTTTAGAAAGGTTCGTACAGGCTTCTAGTTGGTTGAAGGATGTTTGCGGGTCGTGGGATGAATCCCAATTATTTCGGGGGGTGGGGGGGGGCCTGCAGGGTTGGGCATAATTATACAGCTTGGGAACTGGGTCTTGCGCCGAGGGTGGCGATAGGGGTTTCTGCATGTTTCGACACGCCGTTTCGGCTCAATGCCCCCTGTGAGCTGCATGTTATTCATTGTGATTTGAGTTTGTAACCCTAAACCCTTTAGAGAGGCGGCTGCAGGAACGAGGTTTTAGGGTTTTTAATCTTGGTGGCTGTCGGATCTGCGGCATGAGAATTCAGGTGCTCGCGGCTCTTATCTTTCCTCGAAGGGAAATCCACATGTGGAGCATGGAACCATGTCTGGTTTCGGTTTGCCTAAACCCAAGTCCAAACTTTCCCACCACCCCCAAGCCATACGACAACGGACCCCTCACTCCCTGATTGCAGAGGACCTGCTGTGCTGGCTACACGAAGGCTGAACTATCAGGCGCCTGGCTTAGAGTAATGTAGGGGCCTTCATAGTTAGAATAGGGTTCCTTTAAAGGGCTCCTTTAAGGGTTATAAGTTATAAGGGTACTATACAGCAAAGGATTTAGGGATGTATGGGCCTTAATTAGAATAGGGCTTTAGGCTATATTATACTATAATTCTATATATATATATATATATATACATAGATACATATATACATACATAATAAGGAACCCCCAACACCCTATTCCAACTATGATTAAGATCCCTACATTGGGTCCTGGGGTGTGTTTGGGTTTTGCGTTTCGGGTGATGTGGCGTCGGGACCGACACCCAACTCCCAACCCTCGGGCCTTGCGGTGGCGCAGGGTTAGATTCTCAAGGTGTGTAGTTTTGCGTGCCAGCTCGTAGTGCCGCAAAAGTGGGTATAACTCTACGGTACAGGGGTTTTGGGCGACGCCCCGTGCAATCCTAAACGGAGGCCGCAAACTAAAGCGCTGAAATCGGCCCTGAATACCATGCTCTGGACGCGACTGTAAACCCATAAACCTTCAAAGAGCTACACCCCAAAGCCTTAGCTAACGAGGGACAACCTCAGGGTCTCTCCTAATTAAACCCTGACCCCCCACGACAGATACCCAAGTGGTTCCCGGAATCTCAGAGCCTCCTATGGTCTCTCCTTACTTAGAGGATCATGGGACTTAGTAACTAGGGTTACAATTAGGGTAACTATACTTATAACCCCAATTAAGATAATTATAAGCATACTTACTGAGTCCCATGATCCTCCAAGTAGGAATTCTTTGCATCTTCAGGTGCAGGGGCTCTCACCACGGGGTTTTGGGCAAAGCGATGCCCAAGAGGAGAGCTCTGTGTTTGGGGCTTTAGGGGTTGGTTTAAGGGTTTAGGCTTGGGGGTTTAATGGCTTATGGGTTTAGGGTTTAAGGTCTAGGGCTTATAGGCTTATAGGGTTTAGGGTTTAGGCTTTGGGGTCTTGAAGGTTATTTTGCTAATTGGGATGTTTGGGGCTTGGTCTGCGCTTATGGCTTGGGGGCCTGGGGCTTGGGAGTTGTTGAGTCAAGGTTTGGGTTTTGGGAGTGCTTACTTGAAGGCTCATGGGACTTAGTAAGTAAGGTTATAAGTAGGTTATAATTAAGGATGACCCCACTTAGGGGACTTATAACCCCAATTATAACCTACTTACTAAGTCCCATGATCCTCTAAGTAGTGAATGGTGTGAGTTGCAGGAAGTTCGTGCTCAAAGGGCATTATAAAGAGCTTCCTTGACCGTGAGGTTTGGGGCACGGCATTTGGAGTTGCTGCTTCGGCATATTTGTTGGTGTTTGACGAAGGGCTCGGGAAAAAAGCAATTTCATTATGATAGTTGTATCCCATGATGGCACTAGGCATTTGTGCATCATAGACACCGAAGCCGCAGCCCCATCTACATTTTCAGGCGCCGCGTGAGGTCTACGACTCCCACTGGCAAGAACATAGCAGCTGCCTCAAAAACAAGAACTTGAAATGAGTAATCCTAAACCCTCGAACTCTAATCCCTACACCCCTAAACTTTAAGCCCTCAACCCCTCAACCCCACCCAGAAATCCCTAAAACCTCAAAGCCTGAAGCCCCAAAAGCCCCCTTTCGCGAAGAAGGAGCTGATTGCCTCCTTCTTGCCAGCCTGGGCGTCGGTCCTCGTAGATGGAGGCCAGGGTTTAGAGCTTTAGGGCTGAGGGTTTAGGGTTTCATGCTTTGGGGTTTTAGGGCCTCGAAGTTTAGGGGTTTAGGGCTCAGGGCTTAGGGATTTGGTAACCTTACACTTTCAAACCCCCCCCCCCCCCGGTGCTCGTTAATGCAGCGCTTCTGGTCGTTAAGAGGTTAAGAGAGGGTATTTGGAGTATGGTAGAGCGTTGTTGCGGGTGGAGGTAGAGTTTGGGGTTCAGGGCTTCGGGTTCAGGTTTTTGGTTTTTATTTGGGATGGTCGGCGGAGGTACTGTACTTTGTTTCGGTGTAGCTTGGTGGTTTAGGATGGCTTCAAGCCCAAACCCTAGGTTTGGTTACACGCTATGGGGATTGGGAGTGTCGGGGGTAACAATTTGTCTTAAGGTGTTTAGGGGTCTAGGGGTGTGCAGTTTACATATAGAGGATGTGGGATGGCACCCTAAACCCTAAACCGTAAACCAGGCAGCTGCAATGCCAGAGGGCGGCTGCAAGGAATGCAGGTCCGATTCCGCAGATGTGTAGATTTGGGTTCGCGGTTCCGGGTTTAGGGTTTACAGTTCAGGGCGCCCGATACCCGGGACTGGTGGCCCATAAAACCCTAAACCCTAAACACTCCCTGGCATTCACATGCACCCCAAACCGAGCCTTCGTTCGGAGGCAGGTCTAGAGGGAGAAGAGATTACTGGCTGCTATTGTGTGGGGCTGGTATCGTCTGCTTCGTCTAGGATGTGGCTTTGAGAAGGCTGTCTTTGGATCTCCGGCGTTTTTGTTGCATGGCACAGGCCAGGAGGTAAGCCGTGTCGGAGGCCAGATGCAGGATTTCACAAACAACTCCATGGGCCGGCTTGATGCTACCCAGAGAAACCAAGGTACCTTAAACAAATGTAAGTGAACCGCTTTGTCAGGGTCACATCCCTTTTGAAAACATTGGTTGCTCCAGGCATAGCTTTTATCCTCTGGGTGTCGCTGGTGTAGGGTTTCAAGCCCAGCCAGGCTGACCCAACGGAATGCCTACTGTACGAACTTCTATTCCCAATTCATGTACATATAGGTACTGAGGGTACCGAGAATTCATCTTTTGGGCAGGAGGCTTCGTGCAGCGTGGATGAGAAGCTTCCAGCTGTTTCTGCCCACCACCCGCGCGGTGCTCATGCTGAGAGGCCATCCGGGAGCAGTTGCAGCTTCGGCCCTGTCCACCCTTATACAGGTTTTTCTAGGATTCCCGGGTTTTACAAAGATGAAGCTTGTTTGTTCCGATTTCGAGTTTGGGGCTTCCAGTGGGAGTTTGAGCAGGTTTCAGGCTTGGCCTTTAATTGTTTTGGGGCTTTGGATTTAGTGTTTAGGGCTTTGGGCAGGGGTTTAGGGTTTAGAGTTATTAGGCTTCATGATTTTGGGGTCTGGACTCCAAAAACTGGACCCTAAATCCTAAACCTTAAACCGCAACCCTAAACTCCAAACCCGAAACCCGGAACGCATACCCTCAGGCTCCATGTAGCCAGAAAGTATATACTTAGGCCTTAGGCCTCAAAGTACCACCACAAAGGTACATGGAGCCTTTGGGATATAGCTGCAAGCAGCCCGACCTGCTGCAGTCTGTAGAGGCAGCTTCTGCTCTGCGTTCTGCAGCATCTGTTCGGCTGCCGTCGGCCGGAGAGTGCAGGACTAGGATTCCTTTAAAGGGTTCCTTTAAGGGTTCCGTTAAGGGTACTATAAGAAATCATAGGGTAATATAGGATCGTGTACAGCCCTTCGGTTTCGGGGGACTTCCAGAGATAAGGGGATAGGGGTTTCGGGTTTTGGGATTGGGACCCTGGGATTGGGGGTTTAGGAATGGTGGTACGGACCTACCGAAGAGTGAGGCGTCAGGCTGCAGGCTTGGGACTGTTGGGTTTCGAGATTTGGCCCCTTCCCCTGTGGGGTTTATAGGGATTAGGGTTTAGGGTTTAGGGTTAAGGTTTAGTTCATGTGGTTTTCTCCAGTTATGCCCGTCATTCCGGCTTTTCCGGTATCAACTTCGAGAAGCTCAGGTTTGAAGCACTCAGCCGCGTCGCCCTACCATAAGGCCTCAGTCCTAGTCTACTGTCTAGCAGCCGTAGAAACGCTGGTTCCTTGCGCGACAGTAGACCTGCTGCTCTCCATGCTCAAGCCTGCAAAAAGCAAGTCTTTCTCATGAAAGCTTGTCGTAAAATGGATATGGCCGAGTATGAAAGAGTAGATGAAGAAGCAAACAACAAGGAACGGAGACTCTCGGCTTCACCTGCCGTCCTCCAGGATGACCTCGCTTTTTTGAATCGGCGCTGCGCTCCTGCCAGGCTGAACCGGTTTGGCATGCCTTTGCGGATTAGGGACCCAAAAAGCACATAAGCATAAGCATTTTATAGGGATATCCCTACCTTATTGGGCTTCATTATAAGGGGGTGTATATGGGATATCACTCTCCTCATGTTTTGCTTATGTGCCTTTTTGGGGGGCCCTATTTAGCTGCCTTTCAGTATAGCCACTTGCATGACCGCTCGGGGCTTAGGTCAGGTACCACAATGCCATGTGCGAGGAACCGAAAGGCTTCCGGGAAGAACACTCAAAGACTCTAGGTAATAGGCCCCATAGTAATTCCTTTAGGGGATTACCTTATAGGCTTATAGGATTCTAAATCTGAACCCCAAAAAGGACTTACTTTGGGACCCTATGGTATACAGTTTTTTGCATGAAGAGTGCAACGCCAGCTGCAAGCTTGCTCGGAAGGTGGACTTTACCGTGAATCTTGAGTCGACTGCGGCTCAAGCTGGAGCTCAGAGGCTAGCACTGCTTTCTGCATTGCCTTCACAGTGAAATTTGAACATGCCTACCCCGTCGCTGAGTGGTCGGGAACCAACCGGCTCCTCCCACAGAGTGCGGGATGGGCACGGGAAATCGGCATTTGTTCCGAGAGATCCCGGCTCTTCCACATCAACCACTGAGCGCGATATCGAATATCCGGGCAGGGCAGGCTCGTTTTATACGGCCTTCTGTCGCATGTACGAGCACTTCACACCCACGACCAGCGAGGTCCCTTCGGTGTGGGATGCCGGCTCAGACTTCATGTTTCACCCGCCACCTCCTCCGCCCCCTCCGCCCCGGCACCGACGTTCCTCTACACTGTGGGACGTTTCCGCCGCTGTGCCGAAAAAGCGGACCGAGAACGGCTACGAGGTGCATTGGTCGAACCCTTATGGGCCCGACCCACCCACAGAGCTGGCCCCTCCTGCAGCGAAGCAGGTAGTTGAAGATTCATTCCAAGAGGCCGACAAGCTCTCATCATTTCCGAGCTCATTTCGCGAAGAAGGGTTGGCAGATGCTCCCAAGGAGGCGTCCGAGATGTCGGACCCTTGCAGCTCCATCCCCCCAGTGGAGGAGCCGGCTTTCGCAGCCTTGGCAAACCTGCGCGTATCTGCAGAAATGCCTGGCGACATGCCGGCATCATTTTCTTTGTCTGAATACTACAGCATGCAAGGTCCCTTGTCGCCGTGCTCCCCCGCACACACGGAATGCTATCACGCGAGCGAGAATCCGTTTCCGCCGGCGCGTGCAGAGTGCTCCTACAACAGACTGAACCTACAAGCACCGTGGTCGCCGGTACCAACTGAGTACCCCTGCCCTAGACAGACGTCGTGGTCGCCTGCATCAACGACTTGCGAGTATAGGGCTTTCGATGCTCCGCTGCCCGAGTACAACGGCGGACAGGGCTTGGCAGGAGGCTTCAGCCCCAAGTTTCCAGCTGGATCGCCAGTCAAGCCTGACGATCCTCTGCATGAGGACTACGACTTTCCATTTGGGGTGCCACCAACTGATGACGTCAGCGAGAACTGCCTTGACAACTGCTCATCTCAGTGGTGCGGGCTCTTCAGCAGCTGTTGCTAGGTCCAAGTATTTTTGCACTTTGTTTGTGGGATCCCCCTCTCAACAAGGAACCAATACCAGGTACCAGGTAAAAGCATACCCATACAGAGCCGATGCTGCAGAACCTAGGCTGCCACGAGCCAGCACCTGAGTCCTGCAGCCGCTGCAAGCAGGCCCTGGGATCCTTTTTCGATCATCATTGCCCGAATCTTGGTCAGCCTTAGGCCTTAGGCATCCTACTTTGCATGGGTTCTCCCATACAGTCAAAGAACGAGCCCCCGTAAGAAGGATCTGTTTGCCCTCCCGTTCCTACAAGATGGACCAAGGAAGTGCTCCAATGCAGTTTGCGTCAGCTGCATTGCGAAGCTCAACGGCCAGCCTCTTCGTTGTAAGTGTGGGGATGCGCCGAAGATCGACAGTACGCTCTGGATGATCGGCGCCTACAACTCCGTTATGAGTGCTTTCGATTTCGTGACTAGCCCAAAGCCCGCCGGCGTGTGCGAGGGCTACACCGCGATGCCTTCACGGAGCGAGGTGCTTTCTGTCCCCAATCCTCTGCTGGAACTTCCACCGGCCTCGGCTGCAAGCGCTGCATTGACACAGCACCGGACGTTTTGTCCGGCTAGCACGAAGGAGATGCTTCCTGCCACTGCACTGCCACCGCCACCACAGCCAATGCCGTTGCTCTTGGGCCATCGGCGTCGTGCCTCCCAGGTCGCGGACGTCTTCAAGACGCATCTGCCGGGGGAAATGCCCTGCAGCCCAACGGCCCGATGACGAGAGAGCGCGGTGGTCAAAAAGGGACCATGCACAGGAGTCTCTGGCAGCTCGTGCGGAGAAACTTTGTCGGGTCAATCCCCCTTTGCAGCAGCAGTCTTGCAGTGCCTGTTCCTTACGAGGCCTTGATCCCGCTGCAGCCGGCGCTGACAGCCCTGACGCGGCGCTGCGAGGCTCACGACAACTCCGAAGCCGAGGCCTCCCCCCCTGATCCCTCCGAGGATTGTGGCTTTCGATGTTTGTTGGTCTGGGTGTTTGGGGGGTTTCATGGGTTTAGGGTCAGAAACCCTTTGAAACACAAATACCGCTCCAAGCCCCAAAACCCTGAAATCCTAAAGCCTGGGTTTGCTGGGGTTTGGGTTTAGGCGTGCAGGGTTCCTGGCTCGTGCCTCGCCTTCCGAAGGCCACCTGAGGCATTAATTAGATCCGAAGGAACAGCCGCGTCCTAGCAGGATTTGTTCTTGACAGTGCGCACCCACAATTTGTTCATCCATGTATGCCCTATAAGCCCCAATACCATAATACCCTAACCCTAAACACTACTGAATCCTTCTCGCCGTGCTTAAACTTTACAAGCCTGCTATATCCTAGAGGCTGAACCGCAACGACCTTAACCGTGGAACCGGCATGAAGCTCGGGGTTGTGTAGTTGCGGCGGTGGGGCCGAAATGAGTTTTGTGACAACATAGGGGCCTGGATAGTGCTCCCGAAAGCCGAAGACGTTCATAAAGCAACCGTAGGCCGTTTAACAAGGCTAACCTCTGCTTGAACATAGGATACAGGTTCGGGCTTAGGGTGAGCTTGGTGAAACGCTAAGCTCGTTAACACTATGCCACGGTAGCCTCAACTTGCTTACCGTAGAAATCGGAAGCATACCTGTCTAACCCGAAGCCCTAAATTCCGAAACTCTATTTTCTCTCCGTATTCCTACAAATTCCGAAACTCTGCTTAACCATCTGTCCACACCTTGAACCCCAGACAATCTTGAACCGGAAGCCCCTACGCATTAGCCCCATGCCTGTAAACTGTAAGCCTGCAAGCCCTTATAGAACCCGTATAAGCAGACCCTACAAGGCACCTCTAACACCCTCATAGAAGTCTTATGACACCGAGGCGCTGAAGGCCATGGAGCTTCATGGTGGAGCTTTCGAAGGCTCGGGGACGTGGGGGATTGCGATATGTGATGGAAGTATTGCGCGGGGATAGTACGGGTTATTCGAGCCTCCATGCTTCAGCACCAACTTTTAAGCAAGAAGAGTTCATCGCCAGCTATACAAGCTGATTCGCAAGGTGGAGCTTCGGCTGCAACCCCTTGCATCCTAAATTCATTGTGGCTCAAGCTCGGGTTCCAAGGAAGCCCAGCACGTCTTCTTCAGTTGCTTGCGCGGCGACTTCGAAGATGCCTACCCCGTCGCTTGGTGGTCGGGAACGAACTGGTTTCTCCCGCAAAGCGCGGGATGGGCACCGGGAATCAGCATTTGGTCCGAGAGATCCTGGCTCTTCCACCTCAAGTTGAGGTGGAAGAGCCAGGATCGAAGGTTACAGGCCTGATAGCACTTTTGCGGATCGATTCGACATACCATCCGCAGAAGTGCTATCAGGCTTGTAACCTTCCTCACGAGACGAGCTCGAACCTGCAGCGATCTTCTCGCCCTGCCGTGTAGCTCCATCCCTCTTGCGGAGGAGCCGGCTGGCAAACCTGCGAGTGTCCGCAGAAATGCCGGGTGGCCCGCCTGCGTCTTTCACTCTATCCGACTTCTACAGCATGCAAGGTCCCTTGTCGCCGTGCTCCCCTGCACCAACCGAATGCTATGGCGGCAGAGTGGCATTCTCTTTGCCAAAGAGAATGCCACTCTGCCGCCATAGGATTCGGTTGGTGCAGGGGAACGCAAGAACTTACTGAGTACAACGACGGCAGACACGGACTGTTGTCTCCTGCGCCTGCAAAGTACCGGCTCGATCGACACACACAATTCGAAGCTCCATTTCCCGAGAACAACGGCGGACAGGGCTTGGCAGGAGGCTTCAGCCCCAAGTTTCCAGCTGGATTGCCAGTCAAGCCTGACGACCTTTTTTGAGGACTACGACTTTCTGTTTGGGATGCCACCAGCTGACAGCAGCGAGAACTGCGCATCCCAGTGGTGCGGACTATTCAGCAGCTGTTGCTAGGTCCCTGAAGTATTTTTGCACTTTGCATTTTGGAGTCTCCCTGTCAACGGGAATCATCGGTCGGTAAAACCGTGCACATATGAAAGGATTACCGCGGAACGGGGTTTTAGAAAGGTTCGTACAGGCTTCTAGTTGGTTGAAGGATGTTTGCGGGTCGGCGGCTTGGGATTCAATTATTTCGGGGGGGTGGGGGGGGCCTGCAGGGCTGGGCATAATTATACAGCTTGGGAACTGGGTCTTGCGTCGAGGGTGGCGATAGGGGTTTCTGCATGTTTCGACACGCCGGCTCAATGCCCCCTGTGAGCTGCATGTTATTCATTGTGATATGAGTTTGTAACCCTAAACCCTTTAGAGAGGCGGCTGCAGGAATGAGGTTTCAGGATGTTTAGTCTTGGTGGCTGTCGCATCTGGGGCCATGAAAATTCAGGTGCTCGCGGCTCTTATCTTTCCTCGGAGGGACATCCACATGCAGAGCATGAAACCATGTCTGGTTTCGGTTTGCCTAAACCCAAGTCCAAACTTTCCCACCACCCCCAAGCCATACGACAACGGACCCCTCACTCCCTGATTGCAGAGGACCTGCTGTGCTGGCTACACGAAGGCTGAACTATCAGGCGCCTGGCTTAGAGTAATGTAGGGGCCTTCATAGTTAGAATAGGGTTCCTTTAAAGGGCTCCTTTAAGGGTTATAAGGGTACTATACAGCAAGGGATTTAGGGATGTGGGGGCCTTAATTAGAATAGGGCTTTAGGCTATATTATACTATAATTCTATATATATATATATATATATATATATATACACATACATAATAAGGAACCCCCAACACCCTATTCCAACTATGATTAAGATCCCTACATTCGGTCCTGGGGTGTGTTTGGGTTTTGCGTTTCGGGTGATGTGGCGTCGGGACCGACACCCAACTCCCAACCCTCGGGCCTTGCGGTGGTGCAGGGTTAGATTCTCAAGGTGTGTAGTCTTGCGTGCCAGCTCGTAGTGCCGGAAAAGTGGGTATAACTTTACGGTACAGGGGTTTTGGGCGACGCCCCGTGCAATCCTAAACGGAAGCCGCAAACTAAAGCGCTGAAATCGGCCCTGAATACCATGCTCTGGACGCGACTGTAAACCCATAAACCTTCAAAGAGCTACACCCCAAAGCCTTAGCTAACGAGGGACAACCTCAGGGTCTCTCCTAATTAAACCCTGACCCCCCACGAAAGATACCCAAGTGGTTCTCGGAAACTCAGAATTCTCCTCAGGGTCTCTCCTTACTTAGAGGATCATGGGACTTAGTAACTAGGGTTACAATAAGGGTAGCTATACTTATAACCCCAATTAAGGTACTTATTGTACTTATAAGCATACTTACTAATTCCCATGATCCTCCAAGTAGGAATTCTTGGTATCTTCAGGTGCAGGGGCTCGCACCACGGGGTTTTGGGCAAAGCGATGCCCAAGAGGAGAGCTCTGTGTGTTTGGGGCTTTAGGGGTTGGTTTAAGGGTTTAGGCTTGGGGGTTTAAGGGCTCATGGGTTTAGGGTTTAGGGTCTAGGGCTTATAGGGTTTAGGGTTTAGGCTTTGGGGTCTTGAAGGTCGTGCTACTTGGAATGTTTGGGGCTTGGTCTGCGCTTATGGCTTGGGGGCTTGGGGCTTGGGAGTTGTTGAGTCAAGGTTTGGGTTTTGGGAGTGCTTCATGGTGTGAGTTGCAGGAAGTTCGTGCTCAAAGGGCATTATAAAGAGCTTCCTTGACCGTGAGGTTTGGGGCGCGGCATTTGGAGTTGCTGCTTCGGCATATTTTGTTGGTGTTTGACGAAGGGCTCGGGAAAAAAGCAATTTCATTATGATAGTTGTATCCCATGATGGCACCAGGCATTTGTGCATCATGGACACCGAAGCCGCAGCCCCATCTACATTTTCAGGCGCCACGTGAGGTCTACGACTCCCACTGGCAAGAACATAGCAGCTGCCTCAAAAACAAGAAATTGAAATGAGTAACCCTAAACCCTTATGTAAACTCTAATCCCTAAACCCCTATAAACTTTAACCCCTCAACCCCTCAATCCCGAAATCCCTAAAGCCTAAACCCCAAAAGCACCCTTTTGCGACGAAGGAGCTGATTGCCTCCTTCTTGCCAGCCTGGGCGTCGGTCCTCGTAGATGGAGGCCAGGGTTTAGAGCTTTAGGGCTGGGGGTTTAGGGTTTCATGCTCTGCAGTTTTAGAACCTCGAAGTTTAGGGGATTAGGGCTTAGGGCTTAGGGATTTGGTAACCTTACACTTTCACCCCCCCCCCCAGTGCTCGTTAATGCAGCGCTTCTGGTCGTTAAGAGGTTAAGAGAGGGTATTTAGAGTATGGTAGAGCGTTGTTGGGGGTGGAAGTAGAGTTTGGGGTTTAGGGCTTCGGGTTCAGGTTTTTGGTTTTTATTTGGGATGGTCAGCGGAGGTACTGTACTTCGTTTCGGTGTAGCTTGGTGGTTTAGGGTGGCTTCAAGCCCAAACCTTAGTTTTGGATACACGCTATGGGGTTCGGGAGGGTCGGGGGTAATAATTTGGCTTAAGGTGTTTAGGGGTCTAGGGGTGTAGAGTTTACATATAGAGGATGTAGGATGGCACCTTAAACCCTAAACACCAGGCAGCTGCAATGCCAGAGGGCGGCTGCAAGGAATGCAGGTCCGATTCCGCAGATGTTGGATTTGGGTTCGCGGTTCCGGGTTTAGGGTTTACAGTTCAGGGCTGCAGTTGTCTTGGTACTTGTCGTAAAGAACAACTCCATCCTATACCACAAACCTTCTGGTGCGCTAAACCCTAAACCCTCTTGCCCCACGATGGCACCCTATAAGCCCTTAACTTTATGGTGCCCTAAACCCGATACCCGGGACTGGTGGCCTATAAAACCCTAAACACTCCCTGGCATTCACATGCACCCCAAACCGAACCTTCGTTCGGAGGCAGGTCTAGAGGGGGAAGAGATTACTGGCTGCTGTTGTGCGGGGCTGGTATCGTCTGCTTCGTCTAGGATGTGGGTTTTGAGAGGCTGTCTTTGGATCTCTCGCGTTTTTGTTACATGGCACAGGCTAGGAGGTAAGCCGTGTCGGAGGCCAGATGCAGGATTTCACCCAGAGAAACCAAGGTACCTTCAACAAATGTAAGTGAACCGCTTTGTCAGGGTCACATCCCTTTTGAAAACATTGGTTGCTCCAGGCATAGCTTTTATCCTCTGGGTGTCGCTGGTGTAGGGTTTCAAGCCCAGCCAGGCTGACCCAACGGAATGCCTACTGTACGAACTTCGATTCCCAATTCATGTACATATAGGTACTGAGGGTACTGAGAATTCATCTTTTGGGCAGGAGGCTTCGTGCAGCGTGGATGAGAAGCTTGCAGCCGTTTCTGCCCACCACCCGCGCGGTGCTCATGCTGAGAGGCCATCCGGGAGCAGTTGCAGCTTCGGCCATGTCCACCCTTATACAGGTTTTTTCTAGGATTCTCGGGTTTTACAAAGATGAAGTTTGTTTGTTCCGATTTCGAGTTTGGGGCTTTCAGTGGGAGTTTGAGCAGGTTTCAGGCTTGGCCTTTAATTGTTTTGGGGCTTTGGGTTTAGTGTTTAGGGCTTAGGGCAAGGGTTTAGGGTTTAGAGTTATTAGGCTTCATGATTTTGGGGTTTGGGCTCCAAAAACTGGACCCTAAATCCTAAACCTTAAACCGCAACCCTAAACTCCAAACCCGAAACCCGGAACGCATACCCTCAGGCTCCATGTAGCCAGAAAATATATACTTAGGCCATATAGGCCTCAAAGTACCACCACAAAGGTACATGGAGCCTTTGGGATATAGCTGTAAGCAGCCCGACCTGCTGCAGTCTGTAGAGGCAGCTTCTGCTCTGCATTCTGCAGCATCTGCTCGGCTGCCGTCGGCCGGAGAGTGCAGGACTAGGATTCCTTTACGTAGAGGGTTCCTCGAGTTCCTTTAAGGGTTCTAGAAGGGTACCATAAGGGATATAGGGTGATATAGGATTGTGCACAGGCCTTTAGTTTCGGTGGAATTCTAGAGATAAGGGGATAGGGGTTTTGGGTTTTGGGATTGGGACCCTGGGATTGGGGGTTTAGGAATGGTGGTACGGACCTACCGAAGAGTGAGGCGTCAGGCTGCAGGCTTGGGACTGTTGGGTTTCGAGATTTGGCCCTCCCCCTGAGGTTTAGGGATTAGGGTAAGTTTAGGGTTTAGGGTTTAGGGTTCATGTGGTTTTCTGCCCGTCATTCCGGCTTTTCCGGTATCAACTTCGAGAAGCTCAGGTTTGAAGCACTCAGCCGCGTCGCCCTACCATAAGGCCTCAGTCCTAGTCTACTGTCTAGCCGCCGTAGAAACGCTGGTTCCTTGCGCGACACTAGACCTGCTGCTCTCCATGCTCAAGCCTGCAAAAAGCAAGTCTTTCTCATGAAAGCTTGTCGTCAAATGGATATGGCCGAGTATGAAAGAGTAGATGAAGAAGCAAACAGCAAGGAACGGAGACTCTCGGCTTCACCTGCCGTCCTCCAGGATGACCTCGCTTTTTTGAATCGGCGCTGCGCTCCTGCCAGGCTGAACCGGTTTGGCATGCCTTTGCGGATTAGGGACCCAGAAAGCACATTAGCATAAGCATTTTATAGGGATATCCCTACCTTATTGGGCTTCATTATAAGGGGGTGTATATGGGATATCACTCTCCTAATGTTTTGCTTATGTGCCTTTTTGGGGGGCCCTATTTAGCTGCCTTTCAGTATAGCCACTTGCATGACCGCTCGGGGCTTAGGTCAGGTACCACAATGCCATGTGCGAGGAACCGAAAGGCTTCCGGGAAGAACACTCAAAGACTCTAGGTAATAGGCCCCATAGTAATTCCTTTAGGGGATTACCTTATAGGCTTATAGGATTCTAAATCTGAACCCCAAAAAGGACTTACTTTGGGACCCTATGGTATACAGTTTTTTTGCATGAAGAGTGCAACGCCAGCTGCAAGCTTGCTCGGAAGGTGGACTTTACCGTGAATCCTGAGTCGACTGCGGCTCAAGCTGGAGCTCAGAGGCTAGCACTGCTTTCTGCATTGCCTTCACAGTGAAATTTGAACATGCCTACCCCGTCGCTGAGTGGTCGGGAACCAACCGGCTTCTCCCACAGAGTGCGGGATGGGCACGGGAAATCGGCATTTGTTCCGAGAGATCCCGGCTCTTCCACCTCAACCACTGAGCGCGATGTCGAATATCCGGGCAGGGCAGGCTCGTTTTATACGGCCTTCTGTCGCATGTACGAGCACTTCACACCCACGACCAGCGAGGTCCCTTCGGTGTGGGATGCCGGCTCAGACTTCATGTTTCACCCGCCACCTCCTCCGCCCCCTCCGCCTCGGCACCGACGTTCCTCTACACTGTGGGACGTTTCCGCCGCTGTGCCGAAAGAGCGGACCGAGAACGGCTGCGAGGTGCACTGGTCGAACCCTTATGGGCCCGATCCACCCACAGAGCTGGCACCTCCTGCAGCGAAGCAGGTAATTGAAGATTCATTCCAAAAGGCCGACAAGCTCTCATCATTTTCGACCTCATGGCGCGAGGAAGGTCTAGCGGATGCTCCCAAGGAGGCGTCCGAGATGTCGGACCCTTGCAGCTCCATCCCCCCAGTGGAGGAGCCGGCTTTCGCAGCCTTAGCAAACCTCCGCGTATCTGCAGAAATGCCTGGTGACATGCCGGCATCATTTTGTTTGTCTGAATACTACAGCATGCAAGGTCCCTTGTCGCCGTGCTCCCCCGCACCCACGGAATGCTATCACGCGAGCGAGAATCCGTTTCTGCCGGCGCGTGCAGAGTGCTCCTACAACAGACTGAACCTACAAGCACCGTGGTCGCCGGTACCAACTGAGTACCCCTGCCCTAGACAGACGTCGTGGTCGCCTGCATCAACGACTTGCGATTATAGGGCTTTCGATGCTCCGCTGCCCGAGTACAACGGCGGACAGGGCTTGGCAGGAGGCTTCAGCCCCAAGTTTCCAGCTGGATCGCCAGTCAAGCCAGATGACCTGCTGCATGAGGACTACGACTTTCCGTTTGGGATGCCACCAACTGACGTCAGCGAGAACTGCCTTGACAACTGCTCATCTCAGTGGTGCGGGCTCTTCAGCAGCTGTTGCTAGGTCCTTCAAGTATTTTTGCACTTTGTTTGTGGGATCTCCTTCTCAACAGGGAACTAGTACCAGGTACCAGGTAAAAGCATACCCATAAAGCGCGGATACTGCGGAACCTAGGCTGCCACGAGCCAGCACCTGAGTCCTGCAGCCGCTGCAAGCAGGCGCTGGGATCCTTTTTCGATCATCATTGCCCGAAGCTTGGCCAGCCTTAGGCCTTAGGCATCCTACTTGGCATATTACGGTTCGGGTTGTCCCATACAGTCAAAGAAGGAGCCCCCGTAAGAAGGATCTGTTTGCCCTCCCGTTCCTACAAGATGGACCAAGGAAGTGCTCCAATGCAGTTTGCGTCAGCTGCATTGCGAAGCTCAACGGCCAGCCTCTTCGTTGCAACTGTGGGGATGCACCGAAGATCGACAGTACGCTTTGGATGATCGGCGCCTACAACTCCGTTATGAGTGCTTTCGATTTCGTGGCCAGCCCAAAGCCTGCCGGCGCGTCCGAGGGCTACACCGCGATGCCTTCACGGAGCGAGGTGCTTTCTGTCCCCAATCCTCTGCTGGAACTTCCACCGGCCCCGGCTGCAAGCGCTGCATTGACACAGCACCGGACGTTTTGTCCGGCTAGCACGAAGGAGATGCTTCCGGCCACTGCACTGCCACCGCCACCACAGCCAATGCCGTTGCTCTTGGGCCATCGGCGTCGTGCCTCCCACGTCGCGGACGTCTTCAAGACGCACCTCCCGGGGGAAATGCCCTGCAGCCCGGTGTCCCGATGACGAGAGAGCGCGGTGGTCAAAACGAGACCACGCGCAGCAGTCTCTAGCAGCTCATGTGGAGAAGCTTTGTGGGGTCAATCCCCCTTTGCAGCAACAGTCTTGCAGTGCCTGTTCCTTACGAGGCCTTGGTCCCGCTGCAGCCGGCGCTGACAGCCCTGACGCGGCGCTGCGAGGCTCACGACAACTCTGAAGCCGAGGCCTCCCCCCCTGATCCCTCCGAGGATTGTGGCTTTCGATGTTTGTTGGTCTGGGTGTTTGGGGGGTTTTCATGGGTTTAGGGTGTAAACTATCAGAAACCCTTTGAAACGCAAATACCGCTTCAAGCCCCAAAACCCTGAAATCCTAAAGCCTAGGCCTAGGTTTGCTGGGGTTTGAGTTTAGGCGTGCAGGGTTCCTGGCTCGTGCCTCGACTTCCGAAGGCCGCCTCAGCTATTTCGTCTGCCTAGACCCCCCAACTACTCTCTAATATACCCTAAATACCCACTATTAAGGACCATAAGGGCTCTATTAGTGGGCACTTGGGTGGTGCTGGTGAACCTGGCGTTTGCCTTAGATCCGAAGGAACAGCCCCGTCCTAGCAGGATTTTTCTTGACGATGCGCACCCTAAATTTCTTAATATGTGTATGCCCTTTACTGCGTAGTAGCAAAATATCCCAACCACTACTGAACCCCTCTCGCCGTGCATAGACTTTACAACCCTACTACTATTACTATATCCTAGACCCTAAACCGCAACGACCTTAACCATGGAACTGGAATGAAGCTCGGGGTTCGGCGTTGGGGCCGAAGTGGATTTAGTGACAACACAGGGCCCGAATAGTGCTCTCGAAAGCCAAAGACGTTCACAAAGCAATCGCAGGCCGTCTAACGAGGCCAGCCTCCGCTTACCCATAGGCCCCAAAGTAGTTCCTTTTTGGGATTACCGTATAGGATTCTATATACGAACCCCAAAAAGGAACTACTTTAGGGCCTCAGGGTAAAGATAGGATACAGGTTCGGGCTTAGAGCGAGCCTGGCGAAACGCTGAGCTCGTTAACACTATGCTCCGGTAGCCTCAACTTGCTTACCCTATACGTCGTAAGCATACCTTCCCAAAACTCTGTTTCATCCCTGTATTCCTACAAATTCCAGAACTCTGCTTATAACCATTTGTCGACACCCTGAACCCCAGACAATCTTGACCCGGAAGCCCCTACACATTAGCCCCATGCCTGTAAACTGTAAGCCTGCAAGCCCTTATAGAAACCGTACATGGGAGTTTCCGAAAATATGGGCCCCTAATATGGTACCCTAACTAGTAGGATCCTTATTATAAGGACCCCAAAACAAGGTACCCCTATTTTCGGAAACTCCCATATAAGCAGACCCAACAAGGCCTAACACCCTCATCGAATTCGTATGACACCGAGGCGCTGAAGGCCATGGAGCTTCATGGTGGAGCTTTCGAAGGCTCGGGGAAGTGGGGGTTTGGGATATGTGACGGACGTATTGCGCAGGGATAGTACGAGTTATTCGAACCTCCATGCTTCTGCACCAACTTTTAAGCAAGAAGAGTTCGTCACCAGCTGCAAGCTGATTCGCAAAGTGGAGCTGCGGCTGCAACCCCTTGCATCCTAAATTCATTGTGGCTCAAGCTCGGATTCCAAGGAAGCCTAGCACGTTTTTTTCATTGCCTTCTGAACATGCCTACCCCGTCGCTGAGTGGTCGGGAACCAATTGGCTTCTGCCACAAAGCGCAGGATGGGCACGGGGACTCGGCATTTGTTCCGAGAGATCCCGGCTCTTCCACCTCAACCACTGAGCGCGATGTCGAACATCCTGGCAGGGCAGGCTCGTTTTATACGGCCTTCTGTCGCATGTACGAGCACTTCACACCCACGACCAGCGAGGTCCCTGCGGTGTGGGATGCCGGCTCAGACTTCATGTTTCACCCGCCACCTCCTCCACCCCCTCCGCCCCGGCACCGACGTTGTTCCTCTCCACTCTGGGACATTTCCGCCACTGTGCCGAAAGAGCGGCCCGAGAACGGCTTCGAGGTGCATTGGTCGAACCCTTATGGGCCCGACCCACCTGCAGACCCGGTGTTTGAAGATTCCTTCCAGAAGGCCGACAAGCTTTCCACGTTTTCGAGCTCATGGCGCGAGGAAGGTCTAGTGGATGCTCCCAAAGAGGCGTCCGAGATGTCGGACCCTTGCAGCTCCATCCCCCCAGTGGAGGAGCCGGCTTTCGCAGCCTTGGCAAACCTCCGCGTATCTGCAGAAATGCCTGGTGACATGCCGGCATCATTTTCTTTGTCTGAATACTACAGCATGCAAGGTCCCTTGTCGCCGTGCTCCCATGCACCCACGGAATGCTATCACGCGAGCGAGAATCCGTTTCCGCCGGCGCGTGCAGAGTGCTCCTACAACAGACTGAACCTACAAGCACCGTGGTCGCCGGTACCAACTGAGTACCCCTGCCCTAGACAGACGTCGTGGTCGCCTGCATCAACGACTTGCGATTATAGGGCTTTCGATGCTCCGCTGCCCGAGTACAACGGCGGACAGCGCTTGGCAGGAGGCTTCAGCCCCAAGTTTCCAGCTGGATCGCCAGTCAAGCCAGATGACCTGCTGCATGAGGACTACGACTTTCCGTTTGGGATGCCACCAACTGACGTCAGCGAGAGCTGCCTTGACAACTGCTCATCTCAGTGGTGCGGGCTCTTCAGCAGCTGTTGCTAGGTCCTTCAAGTATTTTTGCACTTTGTTTGTGGGATCTCCCTCTCAACAGGGAACTAGTACCAGGTACCAGGTAAAAGCATACCCATAAAGAGCGGATGCTGCGGAACCTAGGCTGCCACGAGCCAGCACCTGAGTCCTGCAGCCGCTGCAAGCAGGCCCTGGGATCCTTTTTCGATCATCATTGCCCGAAGCTTGGCCAGCCTTAGGCATCCTACTTGGCATATTACGGTTCGGGTTGTCCCATACAGTCAAAGAAGGAGCCCCCGTAAGAAGGATCTGTTTGCCCTCCCGTTCCTACAAGATGGACCAAGGAAGTGCTCCAATGCAGTTTGCGTCAGCTGCATTGCGAAGCTCAACGGCCAGCCTCTTCGTTGCAACTGTGGGGATGCACCGAAGATCGACAGTACGCTTTGGATGATCGGCGCCTACAACTCCGTTATGAGTGCTTTCGATTTCGTGACCAGCGCAAAGCCTGCCGGCGCGTCCGAGGGCTACACCGCGATGCCTTCACGGAGCGAGGTGCTTTCTGTCCCCAATCCTCTGCTGGAACTTCCACCGGCCCCGGCTGCAAGCGCTGCATTGACACAGCACCGGACGTTTTGTCCGGCTAGCACGAAGGAGATGCTTCCGGCCACTGCACTGCCACCGCCACCACAGCCAATGCCGTTGCTCTTGGGCCATCGGCGTCGTGCCTCCCACGTCGCGGACGTCTTCAAGACGCACCTCCCGGGGGAAATGCCCTGCAGCCCGGTGTCCCGATGACGACAGAGCGCGGTGGTCAAAACGAGACCACGCGCAGCGGTCTCTAGCAGCTCATGTGGAGAAGCTTTGTGGGGTCAATCCCCCTTTGCAGCAACAGTCTTGCAGTGCCTGTTCCTTACAGGCCTTGGTCCCGCTGCAGCCGGCGCCGACAGCCCTGACGCGGCGCTGCCAGGCTCAGGGTTTTTTGGTTGGAGGTTTTCAGGGTTTTATGCTGGGGTTACGCGGGTTTGGGGATGTTTCAAGAAGAGGGGGTCTAGGATTAAAGCCCCAAGCCCTGAAACCGTAATGCCTGGGTTTGGCGTGCAGGGTTGGTGCCTCGGCTCCCGAACGCAGCCTGAAATTGTAATTTGCCTAGATCCGAAGGAACACTTTCCTAGCGGGGCGCACCTTCTATAGCCCTTCCGGGCCAAATTCCCTAGTATTTCCCTAAGCTCTAAAGCCTTTCTGCCTTGCATGAAACGTTCAAACTCGTTAAAGCCCTATTACCCTAGATTCTGAAACATATTGAACTAAACCCTGCAACCCGAATAAAGCTTGGGGTTTGGTGGTTTCGGGGTTGTGGCCGAAGAGGGTTCATCAACTAGTGACGACATAGAGACCTCAACAGTGCTCCCTTGCTGATTCATCGGGGCCGCCCTCTCTTAAGAAATAGGATACAGGTTAGGGCGAGCCTGGCATGGAAGGCGCAGTCCTAAACGGAAGCCCCTGGGTTAAGTCTATGCCATGTAAGCCTCAGTGTGCCTACCCGAAAAAATCGCAAGCATACCTGTCTGACCCGGAGCCCTAAAGCCCTTAAGCCTCTAGCCCGGATCCCTATTAATCTCTGTATTCCCACCAAATCCGAAACTCTGCTGAACCTTTTGTCCACACCCTGAACCCCCGCACAGAAACCTCTTGCAACCCGAAAGCCCCATAAGCCGTAACCCTACACTCTAAACTCAAACTCTTGCAGGAACCCTTCTACCAGGACCCTCCGTGTACCCTTAAATCGTAAAGGGCCCCAAATAATGGGCATTTAGGGTCTAATAGAGGCTAGATGGAGGGTCTAGGTAAGAAGATCCTCTAAGGCCCCTTGTAAAGCCCCTCCTGGAATTGCTTGTGGCACCGAGGCGCTGAACGCCATGGAGCCAAAATGCTGGAGCCATCGAAGGCTTTGGGATGTGGGCGACATGAACTTCAGGAGTTGAATTCGGATTGGGATGTTATTGTGCAGGGATAGTGCGATTTATTCGGCGCTCTACTTTACTGTAGTTTTAGTATGATCGAGCTTGGGACACCGTGAGTTGCAATGCTGAGGGTCCTCGCAAAACTTCAAACGCCGCGACAGACCTTTCGACATGAAGAGTTCAAAGCCAGCTGCAAGCTTACTTCGAAAGGTGGAGCTGCAATATACTTTGAATCCCGCGTCGACTGCGGCTCAAGCTGGAGCTCAGAGGTGCCTTGCAGCCAAGCACTGCTGCTTGCACTGCCTTCACTGCAACTTCGAAGATGCCTACCCCGTCGCTGGGTGGTGGACAGCCAACCGGCTTCTCCCACAAAGTGCGGGACGGGCACCGGGAGTCGGCTTCTGTTTTGAGAGATCCCGCGTCTTCAATTTCGACGTCTGGTTCCGATGCCGGATATCAGGGCAGGGCAGGCTCGTTTTATACGGCCTTCTGTCGGATGTATGAGCATTTTACACCCGCGACCAGCGAGGTCCCTTCGGTGTGGGATGCCGGCTCCGAATTCTTCTTTCACCCGCCGCCTCCTCCTCCCCCTCCGCCGCGGCACCGACGTTCCTCTCTTCTCTGGGACATCTCCGCCGCTGTGCCGAAAGAGCGGACCGAGAACGGCTACGAGGTACAATGGTCGAACCCTTATGGGCCCGACCCACCTGCAGACCCGGTGTTCGAAGATTCCTTCCAGAAGGCCGACAAGCTTTCCACGTTTTCGAGCTCATCATGGCGCGAGGAAGGTCCAGCGGATGCTCCCAAGGAGGCGTCCGAGATGTCGGACCCTTGCAGCTCCATCCCCCCAGTGGAGGAGCCGGCTTTCGCAGCCTTAGCAAACCTGCGAGTGTCTGCAGAAATGCCTGGTGACATGCCGGCATCATTTTCTTTGTCTGAATACTACAGCATGCAAGGTCCCTTGTCGCCGTGCTCCCCCGCACCCACGGAATCCTATGGCGGCAGAGTGGCACTTCATTCGCAGGAACTTACTGAGTGCGACGGCAGACACGGACTGTTGTCTCCTGCGGCTACAGAGTACCCGTTCGAGCGACAGGCATCTTTCGCGTCTACGCAAGTCGGGCCTCGATGGACCGAGTACGACGAAGGACAGGGCTTGGCAGGAGGCTTCAGCCCCAAGTTTCCAGCGGGATCGCCAGTCAAGCCTGACGATCTTCTGCATGAGGACTACGACTTTCCGTTGGGGATGCCACCTCCGGATGACAGCACTGCCCACCGGAATTGGCCTCACTTATCCCAGGACCGAAATGAAATCAGCGAGCACTGCTTTGAGCAGTGTTCAGCTCAATGGTGCGGACTATTTAGCAGCTGTTCCTAGGTCCCTCAAGCAGTTTTGAATTTTGTATTTTGGGGTCTCCCAGGAGCTGTCAACAGAGAATAAGTAAAAACATCTCCACCATAAGGGGATACCGCGGAACCTAGGCTGCCAAGTGTCAGCACCAGAAACCTGCAGCCGCTGCAAGCAGGCCCTTGGATCCGTTTTGGATCATCATTGCCCGAAGCTTGGTCAGTATCTGGGGATCCTAAAGAATCCCAAACTTGCTCGTTGTGGTTTGGACCTTCCCATACATTTAAAGGAGCCCATAAGAAGGATCAGTTTTCCTTCCGCTTCCTCACATTGGACCAAGGAAATGCTCCAATGCAATTTGTGTAAACTGCGTTGCGAAGCTCAACGGCCAGCCTCTCCGTTGCAGCTGTGGGGACGAGCCAAATATCGACAGTACGCTTTGGATGATCGGCGCTTATCACTCCATTATGAACGCATTCGACTTTATTACCGGCGCAAAGCCCGCCAGTGCGTCCGAGGGCTACACTGCCATGCCCTCGCATAGCCACGCACGTTTGGTGCCAAATCCTCTGCTGGAACTTCCATCGGCTGCAAACAGTGCACTGCCACAGCACCGGACGCTTTATCCGGCTACTACCAAGGAGATGCTTGTCCCCACTGCACCTCTTTCGGCACCGCAGTCATTGCCGTCGCTCTTGCGGCATCGGCGTCGCGAATCTCAGGTCGGAGTCGCAGAGGTTTTCAAAACACATCTGCCGGGGGAAATGCCCTGCAGCCCAATGGCCCGATGATGGGAAAGTGCAAGACGTCAAAAGGAGACGCTACACAGACGCCTACACTAGATCATGCGGAGATGAGTTCTTTGGGTCGGTCCCGTGTGTTTCGTAAGAAGCCCCAGTCCTGTAGAGGCCTTGGTCCCCGCTTCAGCCGGCGCTGACAGCCCTGACGCAGAGCCGCGAGGCTGGAGGGTCTTTGAGGCTTAGGGCTTCAGGGTTGCAAGGCTTTCGGGTTGTATCGGTTTCGTTTTTGAAACAAACAATGAGGGCAAGGGCCAGGCTTGTGGTTTCTTGAAACCAGATTATGAGAGGCTTCGGTGTTATGCAGAACTGTTTGGTAGAAAGCTTCCGTGGATTTAGCCCTTTAGCCGCTTTCCAGGACCCAAATAAGGCAACTTGAACAGAGCCCTCGTGGTCCTTGATCGTGAGCTGTGTTGAGGCCTTGTCTAGTTGTGAAGGTTTAGGGTTAGCGAGCCTTGGATTGAGAGGTACAGAGATTCACAATTTAAACCCCTAACCTGTAATAAGATTGCCGAGGCTTTGAAAGGCTTTGCGTGTTGTTGCCAGGGGCCGGAAAGCTCAGCAACCGTTTCCGGGTTGAGGGTGGAAGACCGCCGAAGGGCCTTGACGGTGAAAGCCTTCAGGGGTTCAGCCAGGGCCACCCCAAAGGCACCCTAAACCCTAAAGCGTGTAGGATTTCTTCGTCCCGATGCGCACTGTCGCGACATTTTTGGGCATCATACTTCTTCGTAATACCTGGGTTTGGAGTACCATACTTCAATACTTTTTGGGGGACCTGTTACTTAAAGGGAACCAACTATGAAATACAAGTCTATAGTTTTTGCTCCCTGGTTACTTCAAAGCCCAGAATATGCCATGGGAATACTTTGGGTGGAGACATCTTTCGCAATGGGTGAGAAGCTTCGTGTTTCTGCCCACCACCCACACGGTGGTGACTCTGCAAAGCCAGCCTGAGTGCAGGCTCGTACTTATCGGACCTTATTGGTTCTATAGTAGGGTTCCTTTATGGGGTCTTACGGAGCCAAGGTTTTAGGATTTGAAGTTTTAGGTTTAGAGTTTAGGCCTGCGCCTGTACTCGGGTTGAAGAAGGGTTCTTCAGAGATCTTACAGGTAGTTAGTTACAAGTCAAAAGTGTTTGCGTGGAGGTTTTGGGGCTTCGGCTTTGCCGAATCTCACATGCTGGTTGAAAGGTTTAAGTGTTCATGGTTTTGTTGCGTCGCAGTTCTAGACACGGGAAGGGTTTGTCTTGTGTCTTTGCACTGTCTGAACAGGGCTTTTCGCTCTCGACCAAGTCAAAGGAAGACTAAACTCTATGCCCAAAGGTCCCAAACTCCTGTTAGTCGATCATACCTAACTAACCCGCTGAGGATTTACGTCTTATAAGTGCCTACAAGTAGTAGTCATATATTCTCCCAACTACTAACCTACGTTACTAGTATCCTTCACCCAAGTGCCCCATTAAAGGATCCTTGGGACCCCAGAGAGTTACTTTTGGGCTGGTGGTTTGGTGTTTAGGGTTTAGGGTTTTGGAGTTCCGGCATTCCGGCTCTAGGCGCCCTGCACGGAAAACCCCTGCAACTGGAAACTCTTGTTACAATTTACCCAGACCCCCCAACTACCCCCTATTATACCCCAAATACCCACTATTACTCTAAGGACCATAAGGGCCTTATTAAAGGGCCATTGGGGGGTCCCTGGTAGGGTTCAGGGTTTAGGGTCGATCGAGCTTCATGAAGGCTTCATGTGCCCAGGGCTTAAAGACAAAACCGCAAACTCCCCTACTAGGAGTTTCCGAAAATAGGGGACCCTAATATAATACCTTAAATAGTAGGATCCTGATTATAAGGACCCCTAATTAAAGAACCCCTGATTTTCGGACACTCCCTAATGACGAAGGACCTGCTTAGAAGGCAAGGCTCCTTTCAGCATGTACCCAGAGGGCCCATACTAGCCTTTTTGGGGGTTCACATTTAGAATCTTACAAGGTAATCCCCAAAAGGGACTACTATGGAGCCTATTGGTACTTAAACAAGAACCGTGGATCTTGAACAGTTAAGATTGAGTTCGTTAGCATAAACTGACCAAATTTAGCGTTTCAAGGTGTAGGACGACACCAATCAGGAAGCTAAGCTCGACACTCTTCGCCCGAATGCCTATCTATGCCGAAAAGCGTACACGAAAAAGTTTGCAAACGTGAACTCGAAAACCTGAATCCTAAGCCCTAAACTATCAGCCCGGATGTGCGGTCTGCGCAGGCAGCTCCCCGGAAGCAGCTGGTAGCAACCGCAATCCGCCGCAGGAGAAAACAAAACTGTGGACAGCCGTTCAGACTTCGAGTTTCGGGTTTGAGGGTATAAGGGTTTATAGGGTTTAGGGTGTAGGGATTAGATAAGGGTTTATAGGGTTTAGGGTGTAGGGGTACAGGGGTGTCGAAGTTTATAGTTGCGAGATGGCGTCTCTTCATGATCTTGTTTTCGTGATCTGCCGTCCGTCATTCCAGCCTTTACTGTAGCTTTTTTGTGCGCCAACTTCGAAGAAGCCTCTTGCTCGCATGATTGTAAAATCTGTTTCTGATTCGGCCAGAGCGCAAAGCATCCTGTGCAACATTGTGTGATTGTTTAAGCTAAAGGAGAGACCATGCATGGAACAAATCGAGTTAAACGTTTCAGGTGGAGGTGCTCGCGTCACCCAAAAGGGGTGCCCCAGAAGAGTGGGCGTTGGTCTCAGACGACTGGTCCTCCTTTGTTGATTGAGTGTGAACTTGGCGTTCTTGGGTGGGCCGTGTGTTCTGTGTCAGAAGCGGCCCGCACCCTGTAATAGTGACTATAAGGATTATATTAGGGCCCTATTATACTCCGATTATACCACTATGACAGGATGGGGGCCCCTTCTAAGTTCCGTGTGTCTTTATCGATTTGCTTGCAGCGGGTTTCGCCTTTAGGGTTCAGGGATTTGTAGCTTTTCGTAGTCCTAGGTTCCTTATTGCCCTGAGACTCCAATACCCCTTCATTAAGGAATATTCCTTAAATTATGGTAGGATCCCTAGTATGATTTAAGGTATATTCCTTGAATTAAGGGATATTGGAGTCTCTGGGTGCGTTACCCAACACCAAAAAGGGAGCCCTTTTTAGTCCTAGGTTACTGGGCATCCTAAGTTCAGGGTGCAGGATTTTCTGTATTTGGAGTTGGAGTAAGACAGACTTTGGTATGCAAGCATGTTAAAAACTTTGACACGGGTCCTCGGAGAAGCAGGCTATTTATGGCGGACTTGGTATCACGTCCTGAAACTCCAAACCAAAAAAGCCACCTGTATGCTGTGAGCAATCCATTCTGCAGGGGCAGTGTTGGAAGAGTTTGGATCCGGCCGAGCCATTGCATTTACAGTTGGCCATTCCCCTGAGGGATTCTGATTTCCAACCGTGACGCTGGAAAGCGCAGGTTAAGCAGTGCAATGTAGCCCCGAAACCTAGTCGAACTGTTCAAGCCCCTATACTAGGTTTGTTTTAGGGCTCCAAGGCACCACGACTGCCTGTAGCAGAACATTCCCATACATGCCTACTCGTTGTGGCTTGGTCTGTGCCGCAAGTTATTACACACGGGTTCAGGTTTAGGGGCCATGTCTTAAGTAGGCGAGTCTTCTTGTCGAAAATACTCGCTTATTCCGGAGTGGTGTAGTTCACATTCTCTCGCTCGCAGCAGGCCTGAGGGGCAATCTGTTCTACCACCCAACAACCCTAAACCTTAAACCCGGGCCCCTAAAAGCAACATAGGCGATAAGGCTCACCGTGCCTGCGAGTTTCGGGCCTGCAGACTGGAGCCCTATACCGTTTAACCGAGGAGTATGCTCGAATTTCTTTTTCATAAGGATAGAGAGTTCCTTGGTATGATTCTTGTCAAGGTAGATATTGCTTTAAGGTGCGGGGCTCTCTGGGCACACTGACAAAACCCCGCAGAACCGTTATCACCCCTCTTTGTAAAAAAGCACACGCAAACCCCAATGAACCCGTATAAGATCTTTAAGGCACCCTGAACATCCTAAGGCAGAAGCCTAAAAGTTGGAAGCCCGATAGCCTCAATCCCTAAGAGCAAAGTATAGGGAATCCCAGCACGATTTGTCCTTAATTAGGTTTCCAACTTTTTGGAGTTTACAATAAACCCTACCAACTCTTATTTTATCACGGGGGCGGAGCTGGGAGCTGCAGTTTGGCTTTCCCTTCCTGGGCGGGCGGTTGCTCTCATGCAAGCCACACATCCTCAAACCTCGGGTGAAGGTTTTGGAGCTGAGGATTCGGGTTGAAGGGTTTAGGGTTTAGGATGTTTAGGGTTTAGTGGTTTCCGGGGCCCTGAGAAATCTTCATCCCGAAAGCTTCTTAGTTAATGAAAAGCCAGGATTGCCAGCCTGTGGGGTTGAGGATTTAGGGGGTTTAAGCTGTAGCGCCGGGTATGGGATCCGCAGGCACGGTGCAGAGTTTAGACTGGGCCCTAAGCCACCCTGAAGCCTCACCTCCCTTGCGCCCCAAAGAACCTTCTATTTCTAGCCAGTTAATTAGTCAGAGCCGTATTGTAGATCCCTGAAGCTCGAGCATTCCAAGGTCTCAGCTGTGATCGTGGGTTTCGGTACCACGGAAGACCAGAAGCAGGCAGGGATTTGGAAGTTTAAGACATCAGGGCACTTCATTTTGGAGTCCTTGATCGGGTCTAGGGCTTGGGGTTTATATGCTTTAGGGTTGGGGGTTTAGGGCTCAGGGCACAGTTCAGGGTTTATTTAGGCACCTACAACGCATGTTAGAGAAGGATCTTTCGATAGTTCAAAAAGGTTTTTCCGACATAGTGGTGCCCTAGAAACGCTTTGCAATGAAATAGAACATGCCGAAGCCTGCTACCGTACTTCCCCTAACCCTGAAACAGTGCTCTTAAACTCCAAAGCTCCAAAAGACACCGGGAAGTTGCTCCTAAAGCCTCAGGCAGAAAGGTAGGCACTTAAGCCGACACCCCTCAGCCCTAAGCCCCGTCACCCTAAAGGGCTGAATCTCAAAAAGCGAAGCCCAAAAGCCCCAAGCCCAAACCGCCAGAGATGCAAAGCTCGAAGACAAAGATAACGCAAAGCCCATAATCTGTCATCCCAGAAATCACCAAGCCCAGAACCCTGCAACCTACACGCCTCACTTGAAAAAACCGTATAAACGAGCCGGAATTATTTGCTCAAGGGTTATCGAATTTCCGTGTAGCCTCTGTGTAGTTGTAGTATGCTTAGTTCAATGTACGCTATTATCAGTACGAAGGCGACGTCTCTAGCCCTGAAGGCCAGGCTCACCTTGAGCACTGGTGGCTCCCAAACGGACAGGGCCCCAGATTCAGGGTTCAGCGATGTAGGGGTTTGGGGTTCAGGGTTTAGGGGTTAGGGGTTTAGGTTTTAGGGGTTTAGGGGTTTAGGGTTTAGGGATTTAGCGGATCGCGGTTTGGGTCTAAGGAGGGGCGGTTCTTGGGGTTTCTGAGATCCTGAAAGGTTACAGGGTCCATAAGAGTTATCTGGGGTTTTAGCTGGGCTCTCCTTGGGAGTTAGCAACTTCGGGCGTGCCTCTTCTGGGAGTTTCCGAAGATAGGGAGCCCTAATATATATATATATATATATATATATATAGTACCCTATATAAATAGCATAGGATCTGTATTATAAGGACCCCCAAAAGAAGGTATCCCCGAAGTTTCGGAAACTCCTATACACGGAATAGGGTTTGGCGGTTTTTATCAGGACGCATAGTTCGGGCTTGTGGGTTTCTGGCTGCTCGGATGGATAGCCAGAATAACTCAAAGGATACAGAGTTCAGCCTGTGGGAATGAGGGCAATAAAGAGGAGTCTTGCGGTTCTCCACCGGTAAAAGCGGCTGAAGAACTATTCGTTAACTTATATGCTACAATTTGCTCGCCGACCCTATTCTGTTTGCAAGGCTCCGTTATCGCATGAGGGGTGAGGCTGGTGCGCGCGAAAGCGCTCCGGAGGGTGCAGTTTGCCACCTCCTCCTAAACCCTATAAACCTCAAAGCATACAATGCCTAAACCCTAAACCCGTAGCCCTACCAGGACCCCACAATGCCCTTAATAGAGTATTCGGGGTAGAATAGAGGGCAGTTGGGGGGTCTAGGTACCCTACCCTAAAGCCTGCTTGGGAAGCGGAGCTGCGGCTGATAGCTGTACTTGAAGGCTCATGGGACTTAGTAAGTAAGGTTATAAGTAGGTTATAATTAGGATAACCCCAACTAAGGGGACTTATAACCCCAATTATAACCTACTTACTAAGTCCCATGATCCTCTAAGTACCCTCGAAGTCTGGTGGCGGCAGCCGCCTAAAGCGGTCCGTCAGGCTGCCTCTAAGCGGTCCTTTAATTAAAGGCTCCAACATGGATCCTTTTTCTTACCTTTGGTTAGCAGGGAACGGAAGAATGGTAGTAATAGTAGTAACTGTATCCCATTCCTCTATTCCCTACTAACCAAAGGTAAGTTTTTGGCTTCCTACAACAGTTGAGGTCATTTTTTCAGTAGTCTAGGCAGGCCTTGGACACGTTTCGCATACTTTCCCTGATTGGGCATAAAGCCCACATTTTAGGCTCTGACAAAGCGTCCTGCAGGTAGATCTCGGCAAAGGGCGTCTTCGTCGGGATGAGGTGCATTGTTCGAGCGTGGGATGCATTTCGTGAGGATGCCTAGCTTTGGAGTTCAGGGTTTAGGGTTATAGGGTCTAGGGGTTTAGGGTATTAGGCATAGGGTTTAGGGTGTCGGGTTTCAGGTTCAGGTTGATTTGTTGACCTTGCGCTGCGGATTTTTGAGTAGGGCTTCGGTTGGGTTGGAGACTATCAAGCCTACACCTACGCTCTATAAACCCTAAACCATGAACCTTGTCAGAGTTTCAGAGGAACACTTAACGGTACCGCCGGAGCTGCATACACAAAAAGCTTAAACCCTAAACCCTAGGAGTGCCCTTTTGGTATCCCTAAAGTGTAAAACCCAAACCCCAAACCCCTAAACCCTAAAACCCCTGAGCCCTAGACCCCTCGACCCCCAGAACCTATAATCTTCCAATCTCGCTCCCAAGCTGCAAAAGCGACGGGCACTCAGCCGATGCCCACCTGGAGGTTCATGGGGAGTGGTTTTAGTAGCTGACGTAGGTAACCTTTAACCTTTTTTGGGTAGTATAGTCCCTATATAATCCCTATATAACCAAAAAGGTTAACGATACCCGACAGGTAGGAGTAGCTGAGTAGGTAACCTTTAACCTTTTGGCGTTAACCTTTACCCTAAGGCCCCAAACTACTTCCTTTTTGGGGTTCATATATAGCATCTTATAAGGTAATCCCAAAAAGGAACTACTTTGGGGCCTATGAGTGAAACCCTAAACCCTAAACCCTAAGCCCTAAACCCTAAGCCCTAAGCCTTAAACCCTAAACCCTAAACCCTAAGCCCTAAACCCTAAACCCTCAGCCCTAAGCCCTAAACCCTAAGCCCTAAACCCTAAACCCTAAACCCTAAACTCTAAACCCTAAGTTAACCTTTATTGGGCTAGCGTACTCAGCCCCTCAGTTGCAGGTAGGGCCATAGGTAGGGCTCCTTTTCGGGATCTACATGGTTTAGGGGTTAGGGTTTAGGGTTCATTGGATAGTTATACGTAGGGCTATAAGTTCTAAGTAGGGTAACTATACGCATTACGCGTATTCGGGGACTTATAACCCCACTTATAACTACCCATGAACCTCCAAGTATATCCTAAACCCTATACTCTATACCGTTATAGAACTCCTATAGATCCCTTTAGAGGGGCCCTTAAAGGAACCCCCTTTGAGCCGAAGAGCAGGATGCCAGAGAGCTTTGTTCGGAGAGTGACTTGGCACGGATGGCCAAGCTCCGAACGCTCAAGAAGCACAAGGACTGAGGGACTTCGGTTTAGGGTTTAGGGGTTTAGGGACTTCGTGATCTTAGTAGCAGAGCACGATAGGGGCCTTAATAATTGCCTACACTTTTTTGGGGGTTCCTTGTTATAATTGTAGTATAATGGGCCCCAAAGCCCTGTTGTAATCATTGAGGCCGCTATGTAGATGTTTTATAGGACCCTTTAAGCAGCCCTTGTGATCCCCTTTAAAAGGAACCGATTCTATACCAAGGCCCCTAAATCAGCGATCTTAGTCGCAGAGAAAGCAACCTCTCACCTTCTTGGCTACCATAATCCTCGTATAGCACCAAAGGCTAACCGTCACTTCCTCTACTTGGAGGTTCATGGGTAGTTATAAGTAGGGTTATAAGTAGGATAACTATACTTATAACGCATATTAGGGGACTTATAACCCCACTTATGATTACCCATGAGCCTCCAAGTAGGAAACGTGTGTCCAGATCTTCGGGTTCAAGTTTAGAGCTCAGGCGCTGAGGTTGAGGGTTTTAACCCGGGGATGACTTCAGGTGGTTTTCTGGAAAGCGCTTTCATGATTAGGCGGAGAGGTGCTTAGCAATAAAAGTTGGATGTGATCAAGGTGCGGGTTCAGATTGATTGGAGCCGGTCGATTTTGTTTCAGGTGTTGCGGCTGCAGGATGTCGGCTTTGGGTTTTTTAAGCTTGGGGTTTCAGTTTGAGGGTGTTTATCTGCACTTTCCGCATCGTGGCTGCCAAGCTTTTCGGCAGAGTATGAAGGCTCACGACGATGATGAAGAAAATGACGACGGTTGTACCAATGACGATAAGGTCTGCTATTGTTTCTTGTGTGCATTGTGCCGGATGTTGGACCTGCTTTCTTGCTGTGCTACCGCAGCTAACCACAACAATCCGGTGAGTCTGCCGGCACAGATTCCCTCGTAACCCGCAAGTTTGTGGTTCAGGGTGGTTTTAAAATAATTTCTGGGAGTCTCAACACTCCGATAGATTCGTCTGAACCTTATCAACATGCCATTTGAACCCTTCCTCCCTCCTGAGCGCAAAAACGGCTGCAATGGAGGCTCGGGAACATGCAACACATGGTGCATGTCTGCCAGACGATCAGAGGATGCCCCCCCCAACTCTTTGAAGACCTACATACCCATGAAGCTTACATCTCTAAACCCAACGCCTCAAGTCATGAAGCCCTACACCTCACTTCCTCCAAGCCACTTTACTCGAATACAACGTAAGCCGAAGGCATGGGCTAAAGACGCGTAACGCCTTGAGAGGTTCAGTCTCTAGAGGAGTTTAGACTTCCCGTGAAGCTGATGGCATCTCTTCCAATGGAGTGGCTGCGGAGGGCTCTTACCACCGATCTGGTCGTGCCCGGCACGACTTTTGGAGCGCGGACTGTGGTTGTGGCGATTCTTTTTACCATCTTTGTCTCGCTGATGTCCGCCTTCTTTCTGCTGACCTTCAATCACTCAGGTGCCAGATTCAGGCTTAAGCACTACACCGCACACCCTGAAACTTCGTTGCCTGCACCGGGGTCGTGTTAACTTGTAGCTCTGCTGGCTTGCCACCCAATGAGGGAACTACCAAGAAAACCCCTTTTTTTAGCCACCATACAGGCCTATTAAAAATTACAACAAGAAGCCCAGACCTACCCCCTGGAGGTTGGTTTGAGCTGATGATCCTCGTCGTGATCTCCTTCTTTGTCTTGGCTGCAATTTCTTGCGTGTGCCTCTGGCTTCAACTGGATGCGATGGGTTCCTGCGGATATTTGACAAATCCTGAATCATCCACCATAGGAGGTAGAGCATGTACCACAGTCGCCGAGGGTGCTTGCAAAGAATAATGCAGGCATTTGTCCATGAAAACCTCGAATCGAGTTGCTGGATAGCCGGACCTTTGCGACCCTAGTTTATCTAGCTCGCATTTTGCATGAGCCAGCGGGTGGGTTGGGTGCTCAAGTCCTTCGGTCATGAGCCTCCTGAGGGTCCAAACTACCCAAAAAACAATAACAACAATGAGCATGATACGATCATAGTAAGTAATGATCATCATTTTAACATAGTGATGCAGGTTAGTATTTGGGAGGGTAAAAGACGTTTAGGTACTCAGGCTTCCCATAAAGATCAGGCTTCCAGTCCCTGAGCGAAGGATTCAGCGGTATCAAGGGAGGGTCTAGGGTTTGGAGTTTAGGGTTTCTCCTAGACTCTTAGAAGGGAACCAAAAAGATCCCCAAACCGTGACACAAACAACAAAACCCTAAACGCTGGTATCAGACTCCAGCACAACTTGGCACACCCCAAACCCCACACCATACACCAAACCCCCCAGAATCTGTACCCGACTTGGGCCTTTAATACTGTCCGTCTGGCCCTTCACACTTTTCGGGTATTTGGGGTATGTTAGAGGGTATTTGGGGCTTCCTCTGTTCAACTTCAAACCCTAAACCCTAAACCCTAGAGCATTGCGGGAAGGTACAAGGATCCACGGGCCCTTTCTGCTGTGGACCCGATGGAAGCGAAATCGGATGGAAAAGTCCTTTGGGCCTCCTGTTTCCGTAATGGCAACTTTTGTGCTCCTTGCGTTAAGACTTCAGGACTCTAGGGATACCGGAGTTGGGGTTCAAGATCTTCTCTAATTAGAGTTCCCGGTTTAGAGTTTCCGCTTTGCTTTCTGATTGGAGTAGCTTGGACTGTTTCTGACAGCCCTACCGCCTGAAAAGGACACCCAAACGCTCAGAACGCAGGCGCTTGAAAACCACCACTTTGCAGTACCTCCGATAGTACTTCCCCGTGGTTTGCACATTAGGCAGCGATGTTCGCGAATCACAGGTCTAAGCCTTCAGCAGCTACTGGGCCTACCCTCTGGGAGTAAGCAAGCACCTAACAATTATTTGTAGTTATAGACTCCGCCGTAGATTAACCTGCGTTGCTATGATTCGAATCCCAAGTACAGATTGTGGTGTCCTTGCGCGAGAGCTTCAGTGCTTGAAACATGCTGATTAGTGTCTAGGCTTCTTGTACATCACCGCCACAACCATTGACTGTTCTTGTTTTTCAGTCAGCCCGTGCAATACATCCAACACCCGAGACTATATAAGGGTACTATAAAGGGTACTATAAAGGGTACTATAAGGGTACTGCAAGCATATTACAAGGGTAATATAGTAACGGTACTATATAAGGTTACAAGAGGGTACTATAAAGGTACTTTAATGGGGTACTCTCGGCAAGACGACATGCACCGGAAAAGCAAAAGCATTTACCCCGGTGCGCAAAGCCCGAAACTCCAAAGCTCTGATTGAACCAAAAAGGGTGGAAGGTTTACCGGAAGTAGTCGTGTTTACCCAAAGGCTCAAAGTGAAAAAATTGAAAGTTTGAGATCTGAGATCCTTAACCTATGAAGCCGAACTCCTCGCCAGGCCCCCCCCCCAAGGGTACTTGGGGTATATGAGAGGGTAGTTAGGGGGTCTAGGCCTGGGCAACCCCACCCCCTCAACCCAAAAGCTTCGCCTTTCACCGCTCACCTCAGGCAGCTTGCACCTACGAGATGTTGGAATCAAGACTCGAGTTCCGCTATTTCTGGGCGAAAGCCCACCAGCACCCCGGCTGTAGGGGCTCGGATTTAGGGTTCACGTCCCGTTGGTTAGTAGGGAATGGAGGAATGGGGTACAATTATAACCTACTATTGCTACCATTCTTCCATTCCCTACTAACCAAAGGTAAGTTCTTTGTGCATGCATACTTGCAGGAGGACTGCCTTTGCCAATTTAGGGGGTTCAGGGGCAGTGCCTGCCGCAGCGCTTGGTTCATTGAAGGCTTCTGGTGTGTAGGGCTTGGGGACCAGACGGGCTCTGTGCTGTCCCAGATGAGAGATGAGCTTAGGATTTAGGTTTTAGGGACTTAGAATTTAGCAGTAGCATATTGGTCTAAGGCTTTAGGCTTGGGGTTCAGGGTTTAGGGTTGAGATGTGGAGCGTACTTCGTCACCGAAGCTTGATCCTTGGCTGGCCCTGTGGACCTTGAACCCCCACACCCCAAGCCCTAAACCCTAAACCCTAAACCCTAAACCCCAAACCCTAAACCCTAAACCCTAACCTAAACGCTATATCTCCGACCGACTCGAGGGTTTGCTGCCTGCGAGCTCCCGGGCCAAAGCTCTAGAACCCACGGCCTAAATCTAGGATGCCATAGAGGTTAGGGTTTAGGTCTATTAGAGTTTAGGGTTTAGAGGTTTAGGGTTTAGGGGTTTAGGACTTTGGGTTTAAGGTTTCCAGTCTCTAGGATTCCCAGTAGTACCCTTGTTCCCTTTTTGTAGTCCTAGGTTCCTTACAAAGTTACCCAACACCAAAAAGGGGAGTTCTTTTTTTCCTAGGTCACTGGGCATCCTAGACATCCTGAAATTCTCGGAGCCTTTTGAGTGGAAGGTCAGACTCCAATACTTGATGGCTAGAACTCTCTGGTGCTTAGTAAGGGAATGGGGGCATGAATATTGGGGACTATTATTGGGGATGATATAAGGGCTGCTATAGGGATCCATTCCACCATTCCGTACTAAGAGCCAGACAGAAATACTTAGAATAGGGTTCCGTTGAAGGGGACTTTTAAGGGTTACTTTCAGGGATCTATAAGAGTACTACAATAGAGGGGCCTTGGCCCTAAAATGTATCCAGGCACTCCGATCAGTGGGCTCGTTCGCCTCCAGAAACTTGGCCGAAAGATGTGTGAGGTTGTAAGTGGGGCTCCTTTCAGGGATCCTTAGGGTTTAGGGATGAGGGTTCAGGGTTCATGGGTAGTTATAAGTGGGGTTACAAGTAGGGTAACTATACTTACCAATCATATTCGAGGACTTATAGCCCCATTTATAACTTCCCATGAACCTCCAAGTACCCTCTGGGCTTTAGGGTTTGGAGCTTCGGGTCTCCAAGAACGAATTATCCCCAACGCCTAACTCGATCCTGAACCTTTAACCGCACATCCGGAACCCTAATCCGAGGTCGCCCTCAACCCTAAACCTAAACCTTCAAGCCGCGAGCCGCCCTAAACCCTAAACCCCTAAACCCTAAACCCCCTAAACCCCGAAACCCTAAACCCCCTAACCTCTGAACCCTAAACCCCCCTAACCTCTGAACCCTGAACCCCCCTATATAACCCGCAAGGTGATCATGCCGGCGGTCCAGGTGGTGCAGAGCAAGACCTGCCTCTGTTGTTTGGAGGAGCTGCAACCCAGGACTGCCTCGAAATGATGAGCTCTTCTTGGTGCGGTCGGTTTCGGGTTCCCGGGTTTAGGGTTTTAGGGGTTCAGGGTTTAGGGTTTTTGGGGTTCAGGGTTTCGGGTTTAGGGTTTTAGGGTTTAGCGTTTTAGGGTTTCGGGTTTAAGGGTTGAGGGTTTTAGGGTTTTAGGGTTTAGGGCTTTAGGGTTTAGGGTTTTAGGGTTTAGGGTGGTGTATCGTGTTTGTTTAATGTAGGCGTGTAGGGCTTGTGTTTTTGTTTTTAAGCCTTGTGTGCTGTACGGTGAGTGATGTGTTTTAATAAAGTTTTGCAGGGCTGGAAGGGCTTCATAGTGCTTGAATTTAGGGGCCTTCGTGAGTAGAACATTGTTTTCGAAGCGGGCAGGCGCTATAGTCTAGTAGGTTTAAAAGGAACCCAATGAACAATATTTTCTCTTCCCTGCACCGAAATACAGAGAGATTCAAACATGCCATCTTACTTGCATCCTATCCTTGTCTTCGTTATTTCGCTCTATGCAAAAAATGCAGCGAAAGTGAGACAAGTTGCCATGTAGTTTCACCTGCACCCTGCTCACTAGCCGTTATCTAACCCCTTGAGCCCCCAGTCCAAACCCTAAGCCCTAAACCTCTAAACCCTAAACCCTAAAACCCTAAACCCCTAAACCCTAAACCATGACCGTACCTATAACGAACAAGCGCTTTCCCATGGCACCCAACGAGCGATTGCAGAATGGAGGCGACCCTCCGATCCTTGCGTTTAGGGTTAAGGGTTTAGGGTTTAGGGCGAGGTAGGTGTGCAGTAGCTGTTTGGGGCCTCACGGTTTCACATTTTCACCTTAGTGAGCATCCGAGGGCTTAGTGTTTTCGTTTCAAGTGCTGACAGTCTACCCTAAGGCCCTAAAGTAGTTCCTTTTTGGGGTTCGTATATAGAATCCTATACGGTAACCCCAAAAAGGAGCTACTTTGGGGCCTATGGGTAGGGTGTATAGGGGCTTAGGCGCGTTTTGGGCCATACGTTTTCGGCGTGTACCGGTCCTCTCCCTCCCTGTTCCACACTCACAATATGGGAGTTTCCGAAAATAGGGGACCCTAATATGGTACCCCAAATATTAGGATCCTTATTATAAGACACCCCAAATAAGGTACTCCCAATTTTCGGAATGGCCCATATGTATACAACATCATCACATCATCCACGGAAGGTCAACTCGTAGGGCTTCGAGGCTTCAAGCTGAAACTTGCTTTGGCTTTCCCTCCCTGAACCCCCTGAGCCTATACCCCTGAATTAAGGAATATACACCTTAAATCATAATATTAAGGCCTCTATAATCTAACAAAACGGGGGTATATTCCTTAAGTATGGGGTATTGGTAGAATCTTACAGCCTTGACCCAAATGCAGGAGTCAAGTGGTCGTCCTCCCTTGCGGCCATGTCTACCATCAGGACAGAAGGGCTCCGGGGTGTCCGGGACCAGAGTATGGGAGATGCCTTGAAGAAGGGTTGAGGGTTTTGCAAATTTGGGGCAGGGGGGTTTTGTCCAAAAACGGATCCTGGTATCTATAGGGTTTGCAACATGGGCCCCCATGTTTGTATAATATGGCAGTCCGTTTCGAGAGCTTTGTTCCAGGAGCAGTATTGCAAGCCCATGCAGCCCCAATGCCTACGTCTTGACCTCCGATATTAAAGCGGCTTTTCCGGTTTCCGATTTAGGGTCGTCGATTGGGCTCGGAATGCCCTGACCCTGAAAAATCGGAATTGGAGACTTGACAAGAACGTTGCCGATCCTTGGATGAGACTTCTGCTGTAGCCGTAGCTCCCCACCCTACCAAACCTAGAACAGACAGCACCTCTTAAAATTCGTAAGCACCCTGCAGAGAGAGGCTCTATAGACTCTAGACCCTGATTAAGTTGTTTAGGGATAAGGATTCTACTACAATAGCCGAGCCGCCCCAAAACCTTATTCTAATTACAGAAGCCGCTGTATTAAATTATGACCTGCGGAGACAGGAATCTCTAAACCCAAACGTACAGGAATGCATTGCGTCCTGGTCCTTCTCTTCGTCTGCCGGAGCTGCCTCCTGCCCTTCCTGCTGCTCGGATCCATGTAAAAGTTATGTAAAAGGCTTCACGGTTTAGGAGTTTAGGGTCATAATAAAGATTGGAGTCATAAGCCAAAACCCCCGAGTACTCCTTCATAGAGCGCTTATGGTCCTGAAACCGGTTCGGTCGTAATAGGCTAGGGTCTAGGAGTAGCCGCAAACCTCATCTCAGCTCCCCGATGGCTGAAGTGGTTTCAGGGTTTCAGGTTTCAGGCGTAGGAACACAAAAACTGTTCAAACATAGTTGGGAAACAAACAAATTGTTGATGGGTACTTAAACCCAATCCAACAAGGCATATAACTCCCAACTTTTCGTACCATCCCTACCATGAGCTGGACTTCGGGTAGTCAGAGCCGATCAACTAATCCGTTCGTCTTGGACTTTATGACGTAAGGATCCTCTTTAGGGTACTACATTAGGGTCCCCTATTTTCGGAAACTGCCATGTGGCCGTACCCCGCACGTCTTCCTTTCTAGATTCAACATCGGGCCTTATTGGGCTTTGGGGCATATTCTATACCGACTATTCGACTGCGCAGCGCCACCAGTGCATGAAGTAAACCCTGAACCCGAAATCCTAAACCCAGTCGTGAAGGTCGGGAAGTGAGTCGGGCTGAAGGCAACGGAACCAACCTGCCCAAATTGGGCTCTCTGTGCTGTACTGCAGTATGGAAAAAGGTGTTTAAAAAAAAATCCTAAACCCATGCTGAGGCCGGATTCGCTACGACGGCGACAGCACCTGTCGGCCGCTCCACCCCTGACCTTCTCGCCGCGTCGGTCTGTTACGGGAGCAACCTTGCCTAATAACGAGCCCAAGCTATATCTGGTTGTCTGTCATATGTACATGCATGTACAAGCGTGAAAAACGGTAAAAGGATATAATTAACTTATACTACATACGCGAGTGCATTCCAAAAGCGCTTGCAGCCACGAAGCGGGCAAGATCTCGAGTTGTAAGAATGCCGGCAGATCTGCTCTGCCGCGAAATTCCGACTGAGAGGCTGCGCTGTGGACGCGTCTAAGACTAGGGGTTTAGGGGTTTTGGGTTTCGGGCTCAGCGTTTAGGATTTGGGACTATCTTAGGTCGCCTCAAAGCCCTACATCCTAAGAGTTTAGTTTTCACGAAATTCCAGAACTCACACCCAGGATCCTACTTGGAAGGGCAGGGGACTTAGTAAGTAGGTTATAAGTACAGTTATAAGTGCCCTAAATGGAGTTACCCCAATTATAACCCTACTTAGAACCTACTTACTAAGTCCCCTGCCCTTCCAAGTAGGCCCTCGGCCCCCCGTCCTGAAGCCTCAGTCTCTCGTGACACACGTGAAACTGGATAGGGAGAAGCGGAGCTCTTTGTAGGTTTACATTCTGAACCCTCATAACAGACATATGGGTGGTTGTCAAAAATATGGTCCCTTGTTGGGTCCTGAAGATAGTACGGCACCTAATATTTAGGGTACCCAAAACAGAACCATAATTTTGACTACTACCCATATAGGGATCCTAGGAAGAGTAGGTTTTGGTCGTTTAAGGTGAGCCCAAGCACCAAGGGCATCTAGGAGATGTCAGCCCGGATCGGGCTGCGCACAGCCTCTGAAGTCTTCGCCGGGCCCGGGTAGTTTTTCTCAGTAATGGAGTGACGGCTCAGGGTTTAAGATCTATGGTTTAGGGCCTAAGGTTTGGGGCCGAGGATTTAAAGCCTAAGGTTCAGGGTACCTGAGTAAGTAGCCTTTCATTTTCTTTGGTGTTGCAAGACCCGTACATAATCCTACAAGTCGACTTTTAGCCCCCTTGGTAAATTGGTGGCAGAGTAGGAGACGTCTTCTTTGGATGTATCCAACCCCACTTAGAGGATCATGGGACTTAGTAAGTAGGTTATAATTGGGGTTATAAGTCCCCTTATAAGTGGGGTTATCCTAATTATAACTTACTTATAACCTTACTTACTAAGTCCCATGAGCCTCCAGGTACCATCAGTAGTAGATGAACCTGTGTTGGGCGAGACACGTCATCAGCTAGGTGTGTGGCTGGAGATACACGTGTAAAGGCTGTAGTTGGGATAGGTGCCCAACCCTAAACCCTACGGCTTAAGCTCTTCAAGCAAAAACGCAGAAACACTGCTTGGGCCCTTGCGGTTTTGGAGTCTGGAGGGCTTCACCGGAGTATCTCCGCTCAGTCCCAGAGCTTGGCAGTTGGTTGAACCTCATGACAAGTTGCTTGGAGATTGCACAAAACTAATATCACCTAATTCGTAAAGTTTAGGGTCAAGGGTTCAGGGAATATACTCTAAGCCACTAACCCCTAAGGGGTAATATACTCTAACCCACTAGCCCCTAAACCCTAAGACCCCAAACCGATCTCCCGTTTTTACCCTATAGAGTCTCGGTTGCGACAAAGGATCCCAAGTGGGTTCTGTAATCCGAAGGTGTATACCCTTAGGCCCCAAAGTAGTTCCTTTTTGGGGTTCATATATAGAATCCTATTAGGTATTCATAAAAGGAACTACTTTGGGGCCTTAGGGTAGATTTCAGCGGTTTGGGGTGTAGCATTTCGCGTTTAGGGGCGCGAGCTTTATTGTTCACAGAGCATTCGGCGGTCTATGGGTCTCTGGGTGGCAGAGTTCATGGTAAGCTGCAACATGACCACCTTCTGGTTTCGAAGACCTCGAAGTGCAGCAGTACTTAAGGAAAAGGATTTGGGGTGTTATTGTGGCTCCCGCCATATATAACGGGGTGGAAGCATCAATACAGTGGTGACAAATCGCGCCAGGATTTGGGAATGGAATGTCGCCGTGGTCCGGGATCCGCTTTTGCCTAGGGGAAAGCATCGCAGCAGTGTCCTGGTAGTCTCCTGGTGATGGGCGTCTTCTGGTCCTGGTCGTCATGGTCGTCGTGGTGCTCTTTCACTGTCGTGGTGATCTACGATGGCATGATAACTTGGGGTTTAGGGGACCTTACCGCAGGGATTTGAATCTGAATCACGACTCAGGGGTAATATCGAGGTCTGTAGTCGTATCAACTCATAGTCATAGCCCTCATATGTCCGTATATATATATATATATATCCTAGAAAGGAGTTCATCCTGTTGGGGATTGCAGTTAGTCTCATCCCTCAACCCAAAACCCAAAGACCGAAAAAACGTCCCTCGCCCCAAAAAAGCCCTCAATGCCGGGTTCAGGGCAGGTAAGAAAGTCGGCGGCTCGGGGTTAAGGGTCTAGGCTACCCTACGGCCCCAAAGTAGTTCCTTTTTGGGGTTCATATATAGAACCCTCTTAGGCACTCTTAATAAGGAACTGCTTTGGGGTCTAGGCTAAGCTCTACACCAATCGTAAACTGACCATCCAAGGAACCATGGGTGCCGGCACAGAATTACCAAGGAACCCGCTCTAGAAAAGCCCTAAACCTGAGGCATAACCATGAGAAATCCCAAAACCTCGACCCTAAGCCCGAAATGTTAATCCCGGAGCCCTACATCCCAAGCTCAAAACCTAGAGTCCTGAACCATGATACACCCCAAACCCCCAAACCCCTAAACCCTGAACCCCTAAACCCGGAACCCTTGCAAGGTTCACATCCGACTGCTCTTAGCGCAGAGTTTGGCTCGCTAACTTCTTTTTTAAATATCTTCCAGGAGGGGCCTGAACTGCTTTCTTTTTCAGAAACCTTTTTTAGGGTCGGGTTTAGGGTTTAGTGGTTCATTTTTGGTATAATTCATATTGGAAGGTTGTTACATTTCGGGCGGAGGGGCTTCTGGTGACAGCTTCTGTTTGTTTGCTTTGGGCCTAGTTTAGGTGCAGGGCTTAGGGTGGTGGATAGGATCGCGATGTCTTGCCGTCAGTGCCTGTTCTTGCATGTAACTACTGTCGGTAGGGTGGATGTTGATTCTAAGATTCTAGAGTTTCGATTGATTCCGGCTTGTCAGTGTGAAATGTGAAGAGATTTTTGGGGATGTTGGTGAGTGTAGAGAAGCATGTAGTATGGGAATACTGTTCCTTATAGGGTTCCTCATTCTAACTCTACTATGCTTCCCCAAAGCCCCAAACCCTAGAGCCCCTGAAGCCCTAAACCCTAGAGCCCCTGAATAAACCCTAGAGCCCCTGAAGCCCAACTGTAAGCATTAGAGCCTCTACAGTACACACAGAGACCCACATCCAGACCTACGCCAAACTCGGCACGACATGTGGGGAGTGGTTACAGAAGGTGTTGCGATCTAAGTGGGATGCTTTTTGGAGTTATGTATCTTTAATGTGGCGGGCATGCAACTTCACAGAGTTTGGCAAGAGCCTCATCCCAAATCGATAGCCACAAGCTCTAAGTTTTTCGCTGTACCTCAACTGTGTTCGGGCCCCAACTCTTCTCCATAGGCCCCAAAGTAGTTCCTTTTTCGGGTTCATATATAGAATCCTATTAGGTATTCTTAAAAAGGAACTACTTTGGGGCCTATGGGTATCGGGAAGTCTTGAATGTGCGAGTCCCTGGCAGGGATGCGGCTGCCACCGCCCTGAAGCCTAAAGAAAGAAGCCGCAGCCATAAGAACTCTGAAGTCTAAAACCTTATCCCTAAAGCCCAAGAAAACCCTAGAACCCTAAAGCCCGAACCTCAAAACACAAAGCCCTAAGAATGCCCACCATCGAGGACTGCACAACCTCGTTTCAGAGGATACCTTGGGATGTCCTAAGCAACCCTAATGCCGACCAGTATGGTTTTGGTCATTAAGGCTGTTCCCTGATACGGTTTAGCCAAAATGAGGGGCCGGGCTCATTAGCTTCATTATTTTTCGGGGGGTTCCCCAGTGTGCCTACCTACCCTACCAACCCGATTCTAAATTCGGAGGCAGAGCCAAATCTTCTCCGAATAAAGGCGCGGCAAACGCTGCAGATTTCGGGTTTTGGGGCTAGGGCTTTGGGTGTAGACTTTACTGTTGTAGGGTAGGGCATGTAGGGTTTGAAGGGGGTTTCAGGGTTCGATTTTAAGTCTGTGTTCACTCTTGGTGCTTGGCTTGTTCGCGGTATTTTCGGAGCGTGCACTTGGAGTTCGCAACTTCAGAGCCCAAACCGTAAATTGAAACAGCTATGGGCGGCGGAAGCGGGGACATCGAAAACATGGAGCACTTCTCAACTTCCCCTAAACTCCAAACCTGGCCTTGGGAAAGGGAAGAAAAGGAACACACCTCGTACTTCCCCTACGTCCCAGCCACTTTGGAGTTTCGGCGAAAATCGCACATGGGCGCGAAGGGTTGTGAACCCTGCGGCCATCATGCTGCTCGGTGGGCACGTCTTGATCGAGGAGTGTCCTGGTCGATTTCCTGAAAACAAAGAAACGGAGAGCTTTCGCTTAAAACTTCCAAGTAGAAAGTAGAATTAGAAGAACCCCTAACCCCTAAACCCTTGAACCCCAAGGCCTAAACACATCCCAGAAGCAGAGCGTGGGGCCTCAGTAGTATCATTTGCCCTTGTCATGTTGGGGGTCTAATAGGAACAGGGTGCCCTTGGGTTAAAGCGGTTACTAGGGAACCCTAAAGCCAAAACCCTAAACCCAAGAGAAAGAGCTCGGACGCTTTCTTCACGACGTGCCCCGCAGCGCAGTAGCTCGAAAGGGCACCATGTCATCAGCCAGCCAGCTACCGGAGGTCGACTAAAGCCAGTTCATGTAGGGTTTCGGTTTAGGGTTTATGGGTTCAGGGCTCAGAGTTTTGGGTTTAGAGTTTAGGGTTCAGGGTTCAGGGTTCAAGAAAGAGGCGGTTTAGGTTTCACTTTGGGTTTCA